AAAAAAAAAGTCCCGAAAAGCCCCTCAACGCTCTGCGGAGTAACGAGCTGAGCTCGGACAACATGGCGGTAATATCGTCATCCGGGTATGTGCCGGGACGAATAAAACCCGCTACGGATATAGCCTCTATCAGTTGCGGCACAAGTGAGACCATGACGACCATAATTTCTTTTCGCACGGCACAAAATCACGCACTTTGGAATCATATACAGAACAAGAGTATCACAAAGCCCAATCAGAGTAAAAACACCAGAGTAAAAACCTGAAGGAAAAAAGAAAAAAAGGAAAAACGTCCGGCAAAGAGGGATCATTAATTGTGCTTCGCCGTCTGTTTTCCGCATCCCTCTCTCCCTCTCAAGAGGGGCTTCCTAAAATCGACCCCGCTACCTAGAAATTGCTGCCGCCGCCGCCCGCCCGCCGCCGCCGCCGCCCTCCTCCTCCGCCTCCGCAACTGTTGCTCCTCCCGTCGCTACGGAGGCAGCAGCAGCAGCAGCAGCAGTAGGCAGCGATGCATATTATGCAACATCCTAATCCTGCCGCGCAGGCGCAGGCGCAGGCTGGAACCGACGCCGCGCAAACACAAAGCGTCGCACCGATGCATAACGGCATGCAGCAGCAGTACCAGCAGCACCAGGAGCAGCCTCGAATACCCCACGGCGGCTATGAGCCTGCTGCTGCTGCCGCCGCTCTGCAGCCGTCGCATCAACCGACGCAGCAAACGCCGATGCCGCAGCACCAACACCAACACCACCAACAACAGCACCGCCGTTATGCGCCGGCCAGCTCGCCGACATTCTCCTCGGTTTCGTCCTCGACCGTTAGTGGTGCCGGCGTCAGTGCCGGTGGCGCCACGAGCGCAGCCAGCCCCTCGGCCGCGCCCGTCGGCCGCCTTGGCCACGTCCTGCACACCATGCAACAGACGGGCTTCCACGCCTGGGGCTTCGTCATCTACCGGGGGTGCTCCTACGCCGACGACGCCGCCTGGCAACGCTTCATCGCCTACATGAAGCAAGAAGTCCACAACACGCTCCTCGCCACGCCGCGTCTACCCCCCTCCTCCTCCACCACCACCACCCCAACAGCCACATCCACCTCCGCCACCTCCACCACCACTACCTCGCTATTAGACACTTCGGGCCGGCAGCTCGCTCCCTATCTCGAATGGACCGTCATCGAGGACCCGCGCCTCGAAAACGCCTCCAAGGACGCCGTCCGCGCCCACTTTGCCTCGTGGGCCGCCGCGCGCTCCCCGCGCCGCGACGGCCCCGGCGCCGACGGGCCCTTTATCGAGTCGCACGTCCCGCGCTTCATGTACTGCGTCTACGTCGACCAGCGCTGCCTGCGCACCCTCGCCGCCTTTGACGACTGGCTGCGCCTCGACCGCAACGGGCCCATGCAGTACCTCGCCTGCGCCCTCGTCGACAAGAACTGTCCGCCCGGCGGCGAGGGCGCCGCCGGCATGCCGCTGGTCGATGGCTGCGACCGCTACTACACCGGCTGGATGTACGCGCACGTCGGCTCGCTGCCGGAGCTGTACAACACGCTCGGCCATCAGAGGCTCATCTCGGGACCCAATAATTATGCGCGGCCCCCGAGGATATACCCGGGTCATCTGTACGGCGCTTCCGTGCCGCCGTGAATAGAAGGGGGTTTGTTGGAGAGGTAAAACGGAGAGAGAGAGAGAGAGAGTTGGGCGCCGGAAAAGGTTTTGGCGCGGTTACGTTTATGATATACCAGGATGCCCGCCGAGGCCCGGGCTGCATATTTGTCATTCTATATACCATAGTTTAGCCTGCGTTGAAAGTTATAAAAGTTTCTTGGTTTCTTGACAGCGGCAGACGCACATTTATACACATGATTTTGACACGAGGTTACAAGTACAAGCACACTGTGACGAGTAAACTATATATATTAAGGTGACATTGCAAATGGCTTCAGTTGCAATCAATAACTTGCATTCGCTAGTGCTCATAATACATGGGATTTCCAAATTTCTTTTGCGTCTAAGCCTCGTTGGAGGGATACTCGACCTTTGTGGTTGCGTTAAACTCCTCCTTGATGATGCGAATGTTGGTGAAGCGGGTAATGATGTGGCTGCTGCCTGCCTTGTCGTCGGTACCCGAGGCGCGCGCACCACCAAACGCCTGCTGGCCAACAACAGCACCGGTGCTCTTGCAGTTGACGTAAAAGTTTCCGGCGGCATTGCGGAGCTTCTCCTCAACGTCGCGGATAATGGTGCGATCGGCGGCAAAGACGGAACCAGTCAGACCATATTCGGTCGTGGTATCGACAAGCTCGCAAACCTTGGATAGGGCATCGGGGGCAGCGTCGTCGTAGACGTATGCGGTGATGATGGGACCGAAGAATTCGGTCTTGAGGAAGCTGTGGGTGGGGTTGGTGGTCTCGTAAACGGTGGGCTTGACAAAGTAGCCCTTGGACTTGTCATATGTACCGCCAGTGAGTAGCTTGAGCTCCTTGTCGTTCTTGGCCTGGTCAATGGCACCAGAGAGCTTCTTGAACGAACCCTCGTGAATGACGGGGCCAACAAAGTTGGTGTGATCTTGAGGAGCGCCCTGCTTGAGCTTCTCCGTCTCCTCGACGAGGATCTTCTTGAACTCGGGCCAGATGGACTTGGCAACGTAAATTCGCGAGGTGGCAGAGCACTTTTGGCCCTGGTACTCGAAAGCACCACGGACCGTCTGGATGGCGGCGTTGTGGACATCGGCGGTCTGGTGGACAAGGTGGAAGTTCTTGCCGCCAGTCTCACCAACGATGCGGGGGTACGAGCGGTAGCGGCCCTCGCTAACACCCTGGCCAATGGCACCGTACAGCTTGCGGAACACGGCGGTGGAACCAGTGTAGTGCAGAGAAGCAAATTCCTTGTGGGCGAGAACTGTCTTGGTAATCTGCTCGGGGTTACCAGGAATGAACTGGATGACGTCTTTGGGGAGGCCGGCCTCGAGCAGGATCTGGTAGACGAGCCAGTTGGAAGCAATGGCATAGTCGGAGGGCTTCCACAGCACAACGTTGCCCATCAGGGCGGGGGTGCCAACGAGGTTACCGGAGATGGCGGTAAAGTTAAAGGGGGAAACGGCGTAGACGAAGCCTTCGAGAGGGCGGTACTCGAGGCGGTTCCAGACACCATTGGAATTGTGAACGGGCTGCTCGTTGTAGAGCTCGTTGGCGTAGTGGACGGCGAAGCGGAAGAAGTCAGCCAGCTCGGCGGCGGCGTCAATCTCGGCCTGCCAGGCGTTCTTGCCCTGACCGAGCATGGTGGCGGCCATAATGTCGTATCGGTACTTGTTGGCGATGAGGTCGGCGGCCTTGAGGAAGATGGCAGCGCGGTCGGCGAAGGGGAGATTCTCCCACGCGGGCTTGGCGGCGAGGGCAGCCTCGATGGCCTTGTTGACGTCGGCATTGGTGGCCGTGTGGTAGTTGGCCACGACGCTGGCATGCTCGGCGGGGTTGTTCTGGGTAGAGGGAGAGGACGATCGGACCTGAACATGTTAGAGAAAGCCAGAGGCGAATGGCTGTAGCGCGACACGTACCTCCTTGCCGTTGACGACGACGGGAACGTCCAACGGTAGAGACTTTTGCATCTTCTCGAGAGCAGCAGTCAGGCCAGCACGCTGGGCGGAACCCTTGGCGTAGTGGTGCTAGAGAGAAAGGTCAGCAGCCATTGGAAAATATGGCCATCAATCAACGTACGTTGGGCTCGTTGTAGACGGCGGGCGACTTGAACGAGGCCATCGAAGCAACGGAGCGAGCCTGGACGGCGCGGCCAGCCACGCGGAGGCCGGCCTTGCGGAATACGGCGGATTGCATCATGTCTGAAAACTATGTGTTGAAATCAAAGAGACCTCGACAATTGAAGGTGCAGAAAGAGATGGTGTGGAGGACAGAAAATGTGGCCGGCATGGGGGTGATGAACGTCGGAAGCACAATGTTTTACTTCTCGTAACTACCACCCGACATCGCCACAACAGCAACACCAACTAAGCTGTTTTAGCTGGGCAACTGGGGAGAGCTGCCAAAAAAGAAAAATTACAGCGGTCTTGGTGGGCCGGCTTAGCACGGTCTAGCACACTGCGGGGGTCATAGTGGGGCATGACCCCAGCCCGGAGCGCTGTATTCGGGGGAGTTGGAGACTCGGGGGACCGCTGAAGGGGCACACTGAGCTCGGAAGCCGCACCAGGCACACCACGTTCGCAGGTTTCAGTCAAATGGCTGGGAAACCACCGGTCTCGCTCCCCACCCGGCGTTTGACTCGCCGCAGCCACCCGGCTACGGGGTACATGTCAGAATGATGAAAAATCGGGTAATGGAGTCAGGGCCTCTTGCAGACGAAGAGGGAAGCAGACACTAGGATATTAACAGACTGTACGTCTAGCTACCTATGCATGCCTCAAAGCACATCGCAGGAAAAGACTTGCAGATTAATGCAGCTGGTGTAGTACAAGATTCAACTGAACACGACAAAGGAAAAAGAAGGACCTTGTTAGTCCCAGGTATCTCAAGCTCCCAGAACCCACGCCACGCCCCACCCGGAAGACCTCACCGACTCGGACACAACCTCCGGCCGCCACGAAAATTCATCAAGTCACAATGCTAGCGTCATCTTGATCGGCTCTGCATAATTTATGACCGGGGTACATTACCGGCCCCTTTGCGCAATACCGGCACCGTCAGACCGTACGCCTGCGTGGGACCCTCGGCGTCATGCTGATCCTTTTCGACATTGATGCGAATGTCCAGGCTGCCGTCGTTGCCCTGGCCAAACGCGTCGCTCGCCGCCTTGTGCTCCGTCCCGGCTCCGACCTCGCCCTTGTGCATCTGCGCGTGGCCGTCCTTGCCAGCAAAGCTCTTCGTCTCCGTCTCGCCGTTGGTTAGCGGCGCCTGGTTGTTGGGCGAATTTTCCGTAATCATGGCAAAGTTGCGGCTGGGCATGGTGCACTTGTTGTGATTGGCCGTCTTGGGTGTGCTGCCGGGATCCCTGTCGAAGAGGTCCAGCATGGTCTCGTCCGTGTGCGCGTCCAGATGGTGTATCTTGTTGCGCCGCGCAAGCAAGTTGGCAACCGCCTGCGGCGGAGGCTTGTTTACAATGGCCGACGATACAACGTTGGCCATGTATCGGTGGTCTTCCTCGACCGGGATCTTGAGCTTGGGGTTCGAGTAGAAGCGACCGAGCGCCGCCAGATGTACATCGCCGCCGAGAATTGTCACGCGAACATTGTATTCCGCGGCAATTTGTTGCATGCTCTCAATGAGCTCCCGGCGCTCAACCTTGTGTGTCTTGGCAGTGTAGTGGTCGTCGAGATCGTCGAGAAGATCAACGCTGCCGTCGAAGTGATTGAACAGACCACCACCGATTCCGAAGCGGCGACTCAGAAACTTGATAGGCCCAATGATCGGGCTTCGAAGGATGTTTTCCAACCAGGTGAGACGCTAATCGGTCAGCTTCGTCGGCAGTGTTTGGAAAGGTATACGAACCGGATACGCAATGGGAATACCCAGCAACAGAATAAGATGTTGGATGGGCTGCTCCGAGTCGGCGGCAGCCTGCAGCTCATCGCGAAGGCGCTGGTACAACAGCTTGTACGTCTCGGGATAGTTGACCTGGTGGCGCGTACGCTCTGTTCGCGCATCTATACCGAGCATGGCCATGCGTGCGCCGAGGCGCGCATACATGTTGAATGATCGTTCGGCAACGTACGGACCAGGCTTGGCGCCGATGATGTACTGCGAACCGGGTCTCTGCTCGGCGACGAATGTGTTCACAAGCTGCGCCGGATCAGCCCCCTCGCCGTGAAAGTCTATCTCGTCAGTGGCCACCCGGTACAACCTGAGGAGCTGAAAGTCTTACCGGATGTATATGTCGAGGCCGGCGGCGCTAGGTGGTGCTGGAAGAGCATGTAGTACTTGTGCGCGGTACCACCAATGCCGCGGAATACATCGCAGGTCATGAAGTCGCTAACGTAGGATCCGAAACCGTCGATGATCTAGTTTGTCAGCATTGTTTGGACCTCGTGAGATGGGCACGTACATCATGATCGTCCCAGATGTTGACCTGGGGAATCTGCCCATTGGCTATGGCAAAGGGCGCAGTATTATACCAGCGAAGGTAATTGTGGAGATAGTAGTCGTCGCACTCGGCTCGTAGCTTTTCGGAAAAGGGAAACTCCCGTCTCTTTTTAGGATTCGAGATGTCAGTCCAAGGGCGCAGCGGGCCGCCGACTCGAATGCCGTCGTTATAAATCTGGTCGCCGCCACCGAGCATGACGTGGAATGGGGCCACGTCGTGCTTGCGCAAGACGTCCTTCCAGAGAGGCGTGCCGCTGTAAGCCTCTTCGTCGGTGCCGACGCTGAAGCCGTTGCACGAGTGAAACATGATGCGCATGGACTCGCCGGCGGCCGGGATGGAGAAGTGGTTGACTGGGGGTTTGTCGGCGCTGGAGAATCGCAAACCCGGAAGCTCGTAAGCATATTGAATCTCGAAAAGCTCCATGGGCACGCGAAGGTCGAAACGCCAGAACGTGTTGCGCGGGTCAGAGTAGAGTCGAAAGCCTTGGATCTGCTGCGCTGACTCGCCGGACGCTTGCGCGACATCTTCACCACGGGCGCCGACTCGCTGCAGGCGCAGCGTCGGCACCGAAGCCTGCTCCTTGCCGCCGCCGTTGAGGACAACGAGCACGCTGCCTTCCCAATGGCCGTCCTGCATGTGGCAGTAGTTGAGCAGAGGCCCGCAAACGACCTCGCCGGCGTCGGCGCTGGAGACGGGACTGTCGCCGTTGAGACCCTGGGGCGCAGCAGCGTCAATGTGCGCCTGCGCGGCGGTGGCATCTGGATGCTCGTGGGAAACGGCGTGGCGGGCAAAGGAGGAGGACTCTTGATGACGCCAGCGGCTAGCTGAGGAATACGGGTTCTGGGGAGTGCCCTGAGCGCGAAGCGCCGACTGCGGCTGCGCGTCGGACATGATGAGATCTCGCCAGCGCTATACAGGGATTGAGGAGGCGGCGCAGGTGCAGGAAGCGCAAAGCTGGAACGGTTGGGTAAAGGAGCGGATGGCGAGAATCGAGAAAGACAGGACGGAAGGAGGATCTACAGGAACGAGGGATGAAAAACAATGCCAAGCAAACCAAGCAGCTGGCAGATGGATGATGATGTAAGTGGGCGCGCGGACGCTACCTCGGTACCCTTGCAATAATACCTACCTGGAAGGTGCCGTTGTGACGGCTTGAGGCTAATTAAAGCATGTTTACTGGGCACTTTGGAGCCTGATCAGCCAAAGCTCCGACGGATTAGAGATGGCAGGCCAATGAGTGGATGGCAAGCCTCTTTTGTGGCCCCTTGCAGGCGCCAATGGCGCTGCGGGTGAGGTTTACGCCGCTCCTGATTGGTGAAGAGGCCCGAGGTAGTGGAACCGTACGACAGCTGGTAAATTATGGTACACCAGTACGAACTAAAAGGCGCCAAAGGACCCAAATCCGTGCAGCGGGCACTCAAAGTACGCGTGTCACGCATTCCTTCGCCCAAAAAATTCATCTGCGACCGCGATGGCTTACAACAAGATCCAGTACCCCCCAGGATTTGGGCTGAAGGACGTCGTAGCTTGGGGAAGCACTGGTCTCGTTGTCCTTGATTCGGCCTCGCAAACAGTCATAAAAACACCCTTTAGCCCAGAGAACGAGATTCTGATTCGGAGAGAACAGGAGATTTACGAGAGGTTAGCTAAACGAGGGAAGCACCCGGGTACGCTATCATACTTTGGCGAAGTCAACGGAGGCGGAATTCGTCTTGAGTTTGCACCGAAACTTGATCTGCATTCCTTCCTTCGCCATCAAAGCGTCAATCTAGATCTCGCTCTTGATTGGATGATCCAGCTCGCCGATGCTCTCGCTTTTATCCACGACGCAGGAATCATCCACGGTGATCTCACGAGTGCAAACGTATTCATAGACGACGGAATGAATGTCAGAATTGCCGATTTTGCAGGATCATCGATTGACCTATCGCCGCTCCTTGTCGAAGTCACTACCAGCCATCAATACCCAGGAAATCTCTTGTCACCGCAAGGCGATATTTTCGCGTTGGGCTCGATACTATACGAAGTCACAGCTGGAAAGAGGCCATACGTCGGGCTCAGCGATACTACTATCCAGTCAAGGTTTCAGAAGGGAGACTTTCCTGAGGTATCCTCTATAGGCAGCCTTGGGCATGTTATTGTGACCTGTTGGAACGGTGGCTACGAGGATGGTAAAGCTTTGGTGAACGATCTTCAAGGTTAGTGACAGAATTATGTGACTTTCATGCATTAGCTAACTCTGACTACGTAGCGATTCGAGAGAATACTCTAGGGTCGTAAAACGTTTGGTTAAGTCCCACAGGACCTACTTGTAGAGTCGTAGCGCATCCACTTAGCCCGTACCAGCCAAGTTCAAACTAATACAATGCGAGTGTCCATCTCGCGGGATATCGTGTAGGTATATCTTCATTATGAAATAGCATAGTTGGAATAATGTAAATTATTGTGACTAGCATTATGATGTGTCTTTAAAACACGATTTGTAAAGAGCACAACTATGGCTCGACCGAAGAACCCTCAAGCCTCATCCGAATTCACCGCAAGCGAGAAAAGACGGATGGCGTTTAAGAAGTTTAGCTACACTTTCTGTCCACATTACTGCCTCTCTTCTTTTTTTTTTTTTTTGTTTTTTTGTTCGATTCGCCCGTTGCAGACACGAATCTGGCTGTGGGATAGAGCAACAATTAGAGACTCTTGGTGGAGCATCCAATAGACTGGATTAGTTTCTTGATTTTTGGTCAAGTGTCGTTTAAACTGGATTTGATCATCTAAGGCAGCCTCGGTTACTGTTGGAAATAGACTGTTGGGTCTAACGTACTTTAGGGCGGCATGCCGTTTTCATCAATGTAAAGTTTGGCATCAGCCATTGTCTCCTTATATAAATAGTCTGAGGCGTCTGTGTAGTAATCTAATGTGGTTAGGGGAGGTGCAAGAGGAGATGTCATTAAGGGGATGGGCGAATTGTATACATGATCAGAGGAAAAAACAGCATTACGATATGGAGGTCGAACTCGAAGCGGAGAGCTCGAGTCATCAGTACGATTGATGTCGTTGATGGCAAGGTAGAAATAAATGGTGGAAGCATATCGCAAGTAATTGGCCGAAGTGAGGGCAAGGCAATTTGCTTCCTCGCTGTGATCTGTAGATTGAGGCAATCATTTAAGTTTAGCGCCAATGGCAAGCGTCTTGCAGGAGCCCCTCAGATAAATCACGCTGCTCTTTTGCCTTTGATCAAATTTTGTCCTGATTTCCAGTCTCCATCATCAACGTCTGCCTGTACAAGTGTGGGTCCACTCGACGACGTCGCGCAGCGTCATTCCGCAACGCTCACAATCTCCTCGAGCACCAACCGAGCCCATCACGCTTCATCGCGCGCTTCGCCACTCTGCGCCCTCAACGCGCACCTCGACCATCTCGCCCCCATCTTTCATCATGGCGGATAATGGCTTCATCAAGCCCGACCCGGACGCGCAGGCGACCCCACCCCTCGATGACGAAGACCTCTTTGAAGACGCAGGCGACCTCGAGTTTTACGACAAGAACCTCGCCAACACATACGAAACGCTGTACCTGGCGCGAATCCCGCGCTACATGTGGGAGGCGTGGCAGAAGCTGATTGAGCGCCTCGACGACGACGACGAGGTGCAGATTGGCACGCTGCGCACCTGGAACGAGCCTGGCGAGACTGATGATAATGGCAACGTCGGGCCCGAAACGACCAAGCTGCGCATGCTGCTTGACCCAGGCTGCGACGAGCACCACGCACTCCCTCGCGAGTATGACCTCGATGTTCTCGACCGCGACGTCCGCAACCACTTCATCTTCACCGAGGAAGACCTCCCCAGCTACAAGGCCAAGAACAAGGAGCGTCAGGACCAGATCAATGCTGGCATCCCCGCGCACATTTTGCGGCAAAAGGAAGCGGCGGCAACTGCTGCTGCTTCTGCTGCTGCTGGCGGCGTTGGACCACAGAGGAACACGTATGATCGCAAAAGTCGCTTCCAGCCATATTATCGCAAAGCGATTCCGAGTAAGGCCCTCCGTCTTGTCCGATGGCTCAATGAAGACAAACCAATCACTGACTCGGTGACGCAGAGAAGACAAAGATATTTGGCAAGATTCACTACGATGTGCGAGTTGAGCCGCGCAACACGGGAGAGGAGGAGCGCTACCTCGGACAACAGCTCTTCCAGGCCGAACACTCGAAAGCCAAGCTCCAGATTATCAGCAGAAACACGGCGTCGTCCATCATCAACCCCGGCACCGCTGGCGCCGTTGGCTGGGCTGGCAACTTTATCGTACGAAATAACTTGTTTGCTTCCTTCATCACGTATGATACAGCTAACAATTCATGTAGAAAAACACCCCTTCGCTTGTTAAGCCCAAAAAGGGCGAGAATTTCAAGGCTGCCCGCATTCCCAAGAACCAACTTCTCGATCTCATTTTCGATTGCTTCCGCCAGTATCAGTACTGGTCCATGAAGGCGCTCCGCCAGCGCACGCAGCAGCCCGACTCGTACCTGCGCCAGGTCCTCGAGGAGGTTGCCGTGCTCAACAAGTCGGGGCCCTTTGCTAACCACTACTGCCTGAGCGAGGCATACCGCGACAAGGCCGGCAACGAATCCAGAGAGGCTGCTGCTGCCGAGGCGGCTGATGATGGCGACGACGATGAGCCCGAGGAGATGGAGGATGTGGTGCTTTCTTAACTGAACAAAATTGTACACTTGGAGTATGGCGTTTGGACATGATCATAATCTAATAGAAGTTTCTTATCCCTTTTTTTTTTCATCTTCTAATTAGTATGACGAGATGGTGATATCATTAGTGCAATTCGTCAAGTTGTAGCCTCCGCCGCCCCATTTTACCGTCTACATCTGTCGTTCAGCATCTCCAGCTTTACATCTCCAGCTTTACATCTCCAGCTTTACATTACATCTCTAGCTTTGCCTCTGCAGGCGCAGCAATGCTGCGTGCCCACCGCCGCGCACTCTCCAATATGCATCTCGTTTTCGACTTTGACGGCACCATCACCCTTCGCGACACCATCGGCCACCTCGCCCGCGCAGGCGTCGCTGCGCAAAAGCTCAGTCGCGGGGCCAACCTCGAGCCCGCCTGGGACGCGCTCCTCCAGGCGTACCTCGCCGACAACGACGCGTACCGCGCGCAATTTGACACGCCGGCCGCGCGCACCACGGCCGCGCAGGAGCTCCGCTTCCTCAGCGGCCTTGCGGACGTGGAGCGCGCGTCCCTGCGGCGTGTCGGCGAAGCTGCCCTCTTCAAAGGCCTAGGCCCGGCCGCTATGCGGCGTATCGGCGCTGATGCCGTGGCAAACGGCGACGTGCAGCTCCGGCCGGGGTTGGCTCGTCTCGTCGCGCGCGCGCGTGAAAAGGGCTGGTCTGTCAGCGTCGTCTCTGTCAACTGGTCCTCCGAGTTTATCCGCGGTGTCGTCGGCGACGTCCTGCGCGACGACGGCGACGGCGACGGCGACGGCGACGAAGTGGTTTCAAACTCGACGCGGGAAGAGGATGGGGTTATTCGCGGACCGGACGTGCTGGAGGGGGCGCTGCTCGTGACCGCGCCGGACAAGGCCCTCGCGATGCAGAGGCTGCGAGGCGGCGGGGGCGGCGGGCCGCTCGTCTACTTTGGCGACTCGACGACTGACCTGGCGTGCTTGATGGAGGCGGACCGCGGGGTGGTGCTGGCGGCGGCAGAGGGTGAGGGCGCTTTGTTGACGACGATGAAGAGGTTGGGCTTGGAGGTGCCGCCGGTCGAGGCGAAGAAGAAGACGGGGTGGGCGCGGACATTTGATGAGGTGCTGGACAGCGATTTTCTGAGTGAATGAAACCCCTTGTGTGCATTGTTCCGGATCTACCCTTTGACCCATCTTCTCGGACAATAAAGCTCTGCAAATGAGAAACCTCGCAGTTTCCATTGTCTTCTACTGCTTGCTAGTTACTCACCACCGAAAAATAAGAAGAAAAGAACTACATAAAGCGCTGAATGTGCCGGTGTAGTCTCATCTACAGCGGCCAGCACTTTGGCATTAGTCGGTGCGTGCTCGTCTGCGACGCCATTGCGTGTCCCCAGGCCGACGTCCATCTTGAGGGCTGCGAGCCGGCCGCCGCGTGCAGCTAGCTACCGGGGCTTCGACCCGTGAGCGGAGGCTCCTACGAAACCGGCAATGCGGTTGCGACGTTTTGTGACGGAGCCGCCGCAGAAAAGAAAGGAGGAGGGTGCGGGCTAGATATGTTTGTGCTTCGTCGACATCACTGGCATTGAACTAAATGATGCTTGAATTTTATTGGGGTTTCTGCTGGCATTGACATGATAGAGTAAGGAGCGTTTGGGAGAGACGGCTGGCTGTGTTTGCTGATGTAGACATTGTTGCAGCTTTGAGAAGCCAATTGGTTCACAGTTTACCCTCAATTGGAAGTGATCAATATCTTTGAATAAAACGCGCGTTTAATATAGCTAGCAATTGTTTCCCGCTCTCTCTCTCTCTCTCCAATAACAAAGCAATGGCGTCCATAGGCTTCAAGAGCTCTTCCGTTTCGTCAAAATGAAGACCTCAAGAGTAGTAGTTCGTTGATAGCAAATCTTTGAAAGCTCGGTGAAAAGAGCAAATTGTTTCATTTCGGATCCTTATCCAATGTATCTGTCCGCGGTGTTGGAGCTAAAGACGCTCGTCACAGGAAGCAGTATCCAGAGTTGTGGCATGCATTGCCATCATTTCTTCCGAGTTGAAGAGTTTCCAAGAGCTTTGGCTGCTCGACGTCTCGCAAACTAGGTGAGCGATGAAGCAACTTGTTCCAAATTATAATGCATTCTGGAGCTGATGCGCCTGGTGCTCGAGTTGTTCCAATGCACCACGAAGCTCCGTGCCGAACCGGTCGTATTCATCGCAAAGCGTGTTATATTCCGTCAGGCGACTCTTGAATTCGTCCACCTTCTCCTCTAGCTTCGGTAAAGCATCTTTCAGAGCCCCGAGTTTTATTGCATGGCCCCCTGGGCGACCAGGATCGGCCAGTATTCTCTGCCAATATTCGATTAGCTCCCGGAGGAGCTCGTTCTTTTCCGTGAGGAGAGGCAAAATACCCCTGATTAATCGGCTTGTTTGCGTGTTCATTAAGGCGTTGGCGTGATCTGAGAGCTGGCTCAGGGCCAGCCTTGTGGCCTCCAATTCGTCCGCGTCCGGAATATCTCCGTGTTTAGGATCCAAGTTGTGGCGGATCGTAACGAGTTGCTCCGCCAGCTCTGTCAATTGCATAGCCATCTTGGTGGCTCTTTCAGAAGAGAGCGGAAATCACAATTGATGGCTGTGAGACCTTAAAGTGGCTTCGGCTCCTGAGAGGGCGGCGTTGAAAAGGTGCAGGATCAAAGTGAAAGGATTTTTTTTTGGCATTCAGCAAAATGGAGGGAACCGCATGAACTGATTCTGCTGCAACAAACGGAGCACACCTATGGTCATCGGCAAAGTGAAAAGGGAGCATTCAAACGAACCTTGGCCACATGCCAAGACGTGCGTTTGCTGCAATACTAATACCCAACGAGCTTGGTCTTTGCGCGTCAATTTTCGTGTCATCTTTTGCTTCAGCAAGTGAAAAGTCAGCAGAAGTGGTAGCAGACCTCAAAGTAGAGGCGTCGGCCTCGCGGCTGTTCAGGATAATGGTTCTTTGCGTTATGCTCGGCATGGTCTAGTTGTTTGCTTATTCACGGCGAACGCTAGGTAGACTTGGGCACGTTTGAGCCTCTCTCTATGATCATTTAATCCCGGTAGTCTGAAGCTTCAAGTAACACCTCGTCAACTTCTCCGTGGTTATGTCTGCTTGGAGGGAGATGGACATTCTTGATGCAGGTGAGAGACGGGAGAGCAAACTCAGAGCTTAGCATACATTTTGTCTCATTATTCTCTCTCAGAATCCGCCGCTCTGTTTACCCGTTTTACGTGAATAGTTTCGACTACACCGCTAGTCACCGCTGGATCATGAATTACACCACGAGCAGTGTGGCTTGAACGTAGACAAGGCAATACTAACTATATATTTTATACTTCAAAGCCCAATGTAAGTTGTATATCTGCCCATCCGCTAGATATGTGCCTGATTCACGGGTGCTTGAATACAAACAGAGCCACGCGACGTACAGGGCCTGTTTATTTGTAGGACGCAACGCTTGGAAGCAATGTGACGAGTGTGTGAAGGATCGATTTTGTAGCCATGCAAAGAGAAATCACAGCGGAATCAATTCAACATAATTTTAAACACAATCAGCGCTTCAAGACTACTCGTGTCTCGTTTTATACACTATACCAGAGTAGCTAGAATGTTTGCTACCCTAGCTTCGCTTTTGTCCATTTTCCATAGTTATGCTAATCCCGAATGGCTCGTCAGACTACTAATATAGTCTACAAAGAAAATATAAAAAACTAAGTACAAGAAAGTAAAATAGAAGTTTTATTATATATACAATAAAGAATATTGGGTTCAACGCTACCAACCTTGAAGAAAGTTGCAGTTATCGGCTGGCAGTGCCAACAAAGCTATTCAGTAAGAGAAAAGAGTGGCGTGGGGAACTCGGAGAATGTCATCAATCAAGTAGCCTTTACTAATTATTGGCACAGAAACATAGTACATGTTGCGCGACTGCGCGCCCTACGGCGGTACATGACGCCCCGGGTGATATACTAGCCTTTGGAGGAAACTATCCGCGCCTGACCCCACGCAATCATGTATCCTAGTGTTGCTGAATGTTGACTGAGCTCTGCGTGCAGTGTGTCAATGCAGTACTTTATCCTCCAGCAGATATATTTATCTGTTTGTTCTCGCAACTTTCACAGTTACATTGAAATCACCACTACCGTCATACTCTTTCAGTCACTCTTCTGCTGCTCTGCTCTTTGCAATGGCTGCCGCCGCGCCTCATCCGTTCAACCCTCTAACGCCAGAAGAGATTTCTCGGGCATGTGCACGACGCATTTCTTTGACTTGTAAAAAAAAGAGACAGACATGTACTAACATTCAATTAGGCGTCAAAGGCTGTCAGACCTCACTTTGGCGGCCAAGAGCCCAATTTTCGTGTCGTGACGCTGCTCGAGCCCCCCAAAAAGCAAATGATCTTGTACCTGGAACAGGAACATCTAGGACAGCCAATCACCGAGGTTCCGACTCGATTGGCCCGCGTCGAAGTAATTGTCAAGGGCAGTCGTGACGAAAACCAGTTGTTTGAGCTCACCGTGGACCTCGACAGCGACAAGGTCGTTCAGAAACAGCACCACAAGGGCAAACATTCTTACATTGACTCGGACTACATGCAGGCAGTGGAAAAGGCCTGCCTCGCCGACGACAATGTTCAAGCAGAAATTAGCACACTCAAGCTACCCCCCGAGGCGACCGTGGTCGTAGAGGCCTGGGCGTACGCCACCGATGGCATGAATGACATGACGGAGCGACTGACAATGGTGAGCAGCCCAATTTGCCCTTGACGAAAACTCAAGTACTGACTGTTCGATGCAGTGCTGGTTCTACATGCGCTTTTCGGACAATGCCGACGCCAACTACTATGCCTATCCGCTTGACGTTTGCGCCGAAGTCTCAGAGAGCCTGCAAGTCACCAAGATTTACCGCCTGCCTGCCAAGCCGAGCGAACGAATTCACCAAGAAAAGCGGCCGTATGACCGCCGCAAGATGCATTCCACCGCCGCGAGCGAGTATCATCCCAATCTGCGCCCAAGTCCAAGAACAACCACGAAGCCGTACCAGGTCGTCCAGCCGAACGGGCCGTCCTTTCGCATCGAGGGCAACCACCTGGAGTGGGAGAAATGGAGCTTTCGAGTCGGCTTCAACTACCGCGAGGGCCTGACGCTGCACGACATTCGTTTTGACGGGCGCAGCCTCTTTTACCGCTTGTCGCTGAGCGAAATGTTTGTCCCGTACGGTGACCCTCGCGCCCCGTATGCCCGCAAGGCCGCGTTTGACCTTGGCAACGATGGTGCTGGCATCAACGCCAACAATCTCCGGCTTGGATGCGATTGCCTGGGCACCATTGCGTATTTCGATGCCCATCATAATACGCCGGCGGGTGAGCCCATGAAGCTGCCAAATGTTGTGTGCTGCCATGAGCAGGATGATGGCATATTGTGGAAGCATACCAACTTTCGTACCAAGAACCCCGTGGTTGCGCGCTCCCGGATCCTGGTGCTACAGACCATCATTACCGTCAGCAACTACGAATACATTTTCGCGTGGCATTTTGGGCAGGATGCTTCCATCGTGTACGAGATCCGAGCGACGGGTATTTTGTCCACTGTCCCAATAGACTTGGACGTGGAAGAAAAAGTCCCGTACGGCACCGTCGTGGCACCAGGCGTCCTCGCACCCTATCACCAGCATCTGTTTAGCTTGCGCATCGATCCTGCCATTGACGGACACACAAACTCCCTTGTCGTTGAGGAATCCACGCCTCTCCCCATCAATGACCCAGCCGTGCACAACCCCTTCGGCATCGGCTACGTGACCGAGCAAAAGACTATCGAAGAAGAGGGCGGCTTCGATCTCGATTTTACCAAGAACCGTGTCTTCAAATTCGTCAACGAGAGCAAGATCAACCCCATCACCGGAACACCCGTCGGATTCAAGCTGCTGCCGTTTTACAGCCAAAACTTGCTCTCGCACCCGTCGTCATTCCACGCCAAGCGCTCCGAATTTGGCGACCACGCCGTCTGGGTCAGCCGCTACCAGGACGCGGACCTCTTCCCGGCGGGCAAGTACACCATGCAGTCGACGGGCGGCGACGGACTGGCGTCGACCATTGCCCGGCGCAGGGAGACGCACACCGCAGAGTCCGTTCGCGACCAGGATATAGTCATCTGGCACACGTTTGGATCGACGCACAACCCGCGCATAGAGGACTGGCCCGTGATGCCGAGTGAGAAGCTTATGGTTGGGCTGAAGCCAGTCAACTTTTTCTCAGGGAATCCGGGATTGGATGTTGCTCCATCGACGCAGGACAAGAATAAGAGTGTTTTGTACGTGGGTCGATGAGATGAAAAGGAGTTGATGCATTTGAAGATAATGTCATCACATGCTAGAGCGAATGTTTCCATGCCGTTTGTTACATGCGGGAATAGCACAATGGCTTGTTTCAGTCTAGAAGCATCTGCATTGCGGTTGCAATACCAATCGAATCATATATGAGCTGCTCTAGGGTGATGGCGTGTCGGTGCCAAAGTAGTGCGACTAGTTGACCGCTGTCGCGTGCCAACAACCGGATGGGCTGGCCGACGGTCATTGGCAAATCTTGCCGTCAATGTCGGCCAAATGATGGTCGATTGATTTGAAATACAATCAGGTACCAGCTGAAATTCGTATACTCCGTACTGAATCAGCAATGAAGCAGTTATCAAAGGATGAGTGTCAAGATCAGAACCCCGCACTGAATGGGGCAGGCGGTGGCAATCAAGGCGACCAAAGGCAAGCTCCGAAGGCGGCAAAATAAGCCGGTTCTAGAAGATCCCATCCCACCACCACCACCACCTTTAACCAGACACTCGCCAAGTAACAACTGCCAAGACCTACGAAGGATTCGAGCTAGAAAGTTGGAAAACAGCGCATCCTCACGATATACATAGTACGCAATGGCGGAAAAGTGTGTGCACCAGGGCTGCGGCAAGCTCTTCACCGACGCCACTGCAGAGTGCAAATACCACCCTGGGCCGCCCGTCTTCCACGAGGGACAGAAGGGTAAGCATTTTCTTTTGAGCACCAGCAGTTTTGGGGGATAATATGGAGGGAGACTTGGAAGCTAATGATGCAACAAGGATGGAAGTGCTGCAAGCCTCGCGTCCTTACGTTTGACGAGTTCATGGCCATCCCCCCGTGCACAGTCGGTGTGCACTCGACGACGGACAAGCCGCCCGAGGTGGAGGAGAATAAGCCCAAGGAAGATGACGCCGCGCTGGCCCAAAAGATTGCTGAGCTGTCTGCCGGTCCGCGGCGCACGCCCATCCCCACGGCACAGGCGCACGCCCCAACGCCGCCGCCGCCGCCCGAGTCCGAGTCCGACGACCCGACGCTCGCGATCCCGGACGGCGCTACCTGCCGCCGGCGCACGTGCGGCAAGACATATACCAAAGGCGCGGCGCGCGAGGGCGAGTCGTGCGTGTACCACCCGGGCGCACCCATCTTTCACGAGGGCAGCAAGGGCTACAGCTGCTGCAAGCGGCGCGTGCTCGAATTTGACCAATTCATGAAGATTGAGGGCTGCGCAAGCAAGGATCGCCATCTGTTTATCGGCAGCGGCAAAAAGAACAAGGGTGGTAGCGGCAGCAGCGGCGAGGAGAAGCTAGAGACGGTCCGGTAAGACCATTTTTTCTCCCCGCTTCAATTTTGAAGGATGGTGGCTAACGCGTAGCTTGTAGACACGACTTTTACCAAACACCGGCAAACGTGATTGCGTCATTCTTTCTCAAGAAGATCAACAAGGAGGCGGCCAAGGTCGAGTTCAGGGACAAAGTGGTCGCGCTGGACCTGGTGACGACGGACGCGCCGCCGAAGCGGTACACGGCCGAGGTGCCGCTCTACGGCGCCATTGACCCGGTAAAGTCGACGCACAAGATCCTGGGCACCAAGCTCGAGGTGACCCTAGCCAAGGCGGACGGCGCATCGTGGCCGGTGCTGCGCGGAGACGAGGCGCTGACGGGCGAGATATTGCAGGTTGGCAGGGCTGGCAGGGCGTAAAAGGACGGGCAAGACAGACGATGGGAGTAAACGGCATTGACATGATTTTGACGTTGTTCTTTGGGGCGCAAGAGTAGAATTTGTAAAGACGAGACGGGTATTCTGTTTTAAATCACACACAAGCATAGAGAGGAGGGAAGTTGGGGATGCAGGGGGCTTTCATTCAATTCAATGCATTTTGCCCTCGGAAAACGGGGCCAAGTTTCTAATTGTAGCGTGAGGACCTTGTTGGCATATAATAGTGCGACTTTTGACCGCACAAGGCGGTATTTGAAGCAACGCGCTCATTGACGAATGCGAGATCGGGCTGAAGCCGTCAGCCAAGACAACCCTCGCAAAGGTGCTGTGCCAAGTACTACTTTTCGAGCAGTCGCCAACGAATGTATGAATCCGACTCGCATGTGATGATGTGACGACATGGCTCGGTCGCAACCCCACCACAAGCGATAAGCATGTTGGGCGATTCACTAGAAAACTACTAACTAAATAATTCCCACTAATAAACTAATATTAACTAACGTTAGTAGTTAGCTCAAAGTGGCCTTATCTGCCTGCTCCAGCAAGCCACGGGCAGCTATGAATGGGCGATAAACGGCGAGGCTTTTCGTAATCTTATCACCAAGAAAGCTGAGCTCGTAGTGTGTCCGAAAATGGGCTTTCTTGGCTTTTGCGCTCGATTGTTGCTGGTGCGGTAGGTTACCGTAGGTATTGAATAAAAGTCTAATGCCCCCCGCCTTCTTGGCGCAAGCAACAAAGTTATTATAAGCTTCTAGGCTCGCCTTTGAAGTATTCCTCTTGAATCACCCTCCCCCCCCTCGGCTCTATCCAACGAGAAAAAGAAAGAGAAACAAGGGCACAGCAATGACGGTCGAAGTTTCGCATGGGCGCGGCGGCGCGGGTAACATTAACCCAGACGACACGAAGTACGTCGACGGTGAAGTGGTGCGCGAAGGCGTCATTGGTAGCCACAACGACGGAGTCTACAGCGCCGGTCGCGGAGGTACGTTTTCCTCTTCCTTGTCTCACTTCTCTTTCTGCTTTGCCCGACGAAAAAAATTCCAATGGCAATATCAAAAGAATTCAGCGAAAGGAAAGAAAGATTCAATACGTTATAAGTCGAGTTGCTCACTTTTTTTTCTTTTTTTCTTTCAAGGCGCTGGCAACATTGCCGATAGGGGCCATCCGGCGACGGAGCGCAAGGATCGCGACTTGATCCCCGAGGCGGCGATTCGACATAGCACCGACACGAGCGACTACCACACGGGACGGGGCGGCGCCGGCAACGAGCATCACACGGGCGGCAGCGGGCACGCGCATTATGACAATAATAAGCACAAGGACAAGGGAGGTCACGGAGACGGCGGCGGCGGCGGCACGCAGCAAGCGGCCAAAGACGGTGCGGCGCCAGTAGGCCTGGCGGACAAGCTCAAGCAAAAGTTGTTTGGGGCGTTTAACAAATGAGAAATGTGTTGAGGTTAGGCTGCGGCCGGTGAGATGATTTTTGGTGTATTTTGTTTCAAATTTAGGGAATTGGGTTACAGTGCTCAATTGTTACAAAAGTGTAAAGTTCCTCGCTGCCTCTGTGTATACCGATGGTGCGTTGCCGAGTACAGTGTCTTTGCCTGAAATAGTGAGCAGCCCGCGGACAAAAGTTGGGCTTTTTGAGATGGAAGCCTTGCCAGGGCAGTTGTCTTTCTGCACACAAATTTTACACCAGTTCAAATCAACAGCAAAAGGGCAAACAACATCTTTGAGCTGCATGTCAAGTTACATCCGAGTGCTCCAGGGTACACTGACACACAGTCTTTGTCGGAAGCATTAACATGATGCCAGTTGACCGACGGCTATCCATCATTAAGCGGCGCTCAGTGGCCAACATGGTCGAGTACACTACCGTGACTAAGGTACCTCAGGTAGGTAGTTGTCACTTTGCAGGCCTTCAAGCTGGCTCGCCACTGCTGGCACATCAAACACTGCCTTGATCAGCCTCGAGTCCAGGCTCCACTAAATTTACACAAAGCTAGCCAGATCGCCAACGAAGCGGGGGATGATGAGACGAGTGACCAGACAGATAAGTAGCCACATCCTGCCATACTGGACTGGTAGCAGACAAGGCTGGCGGAAATACACCACTTTGTTCACCAAGACTGCTGTAGACGAGTCAGTGGCGCATTGCATGTTGGTAGTCGATGTTTGCCCGTTCATCTGGCTCTCCCACCCCCCGCAGACTTTCATCACCACCCCGTTGTTGCCTTGCCTGTGAATGCAAAAAACAAAGCTCATGACCGCCGGCTGGACCCATCACCAGGTCAGTTGACGACAGGGTCTCGCTGCCAATGCCGCTCGGGAGCCCGTATCTGGCGTAGCATCGTGCCAGGATGGGCCGCTGTGTGGGCGCTTTTGGCGCCCCAAGTGGTCCCCCCATGGCGCAGTTTGAGTGCCCATTGCCTCATTGTGCAGCTCGACAGAGCCCGCGTTTGTTGCGTAGGTAGGTCGGATACCAAGTAACTACCTAGTTAACTATTATTGCAAGGGATGGCTTGCAGGTCGGTCGAGCGCGCGCCCCTCTCTGAGCTAGTCGGGATGATGCAAAAGCTGAAATGTGACAAGCTAGTTGATCAAGTATTTGTAGAGCTGGCTTCCCCTTGTCATCAAGGCTCGCCTCGCTTCCCTGTTGCTGATGCATTCTTGCACAGAAGGGATCGTGTGAGCTCGCTCCGCTGCAGGGGGCGTACATGTCTTCATCTCCATGCCTGCGCCACCATCATACCTATTCCCTTTGCGCGGCACGCTGGGTAGATGTGACGGGGTTACAATACCGTCGGGCTGTTAATTTATGCAGCACCAAGTCTGCATCTGCAAATCGCATGCGTCGACCAGTGAACACCAATTTTATTTCAGGCAGCTCAGCTTGTCGCAACAAGACATTGGCCGCGAATCACGTGTAGGCGGCAGCTGAGCACCCGCCGACCCCGGACCACACGGGACACGCAGCGCCGCTCGCAGCCATGCCGCCAAACGCGTCTCGCCCCAGCCTGGCTGACCGACGACTTCTGTCCAGCATCTCCGTCGCCTCCAAGCACTCCCGCCTCTCCTTTGCCACCTCGTCCTTTGAAGCAGACGATGAGCGCTCGTCTTCCAACGCAAGCATGAGCTCTGACGAAAGCGACCCCCGGACACCACCGCCCGGCGGCCTTGTTCCCCACTACGCTGGGCACGACGCCCGGCCAACCAGCCGCAAGGAGATTCACGGCTGGTACATATACGCATTCGCCGCCGAGGTGTATGTCATTTGCGGAATAGGCACGTTTTTTTCCTATTTTTTCCTTTTTTTTTTGGCGTCCTTTTTCACTCAGCGAGGTTGATTATTGTAATTTCTGACCGACTTAGGCTCATTTATCCCCATCTTGCTGGAGTCGCTGGCGCGTGAAAATGGTGTTCTCATGTCGGATCCAACCATACCTTGCGGCAGCAGCGACAGCAAAAATAAAGACGACGGCCAGTGTGTCGTCTATGTCCTCGGACTTGTCATAAACACCGCCAGCTTCGCCATGTACACTTTTTCCGTCAGCGTCCTAGCACAAGCCCTCCTGGTGGTCAGCATCAGCTGCGCCGCCGATCACGGCAGTTATCGAAAAAAGATGCTTCTCGCGTTTGCTTGGATCGGCAGCATTTGCGTCATGGGCTTCCTATTCATCAACAAATCGCTATACCTTCTCGGCGCCATACTCACCATCATCTCAAATACGTCATTCGGAGCATCCTTTGTCTTGCTCAACTCGTTTTTGCCGCTGCTCGTTCGCAACCATCCGACGCTACTTGCAGCCAACGCGCCTGCCACGCCCGAGTTTACCGATTCCGCTTTAGGGTCGTCACAATGGCAGGATTCCGCAGACGACTTGGCCAACTCGACATCTGCGCTTCTACCCGACGAAGCCGCGACGAGGGACGGGTCCAAACCGCGGCCGACTCACGCAGAAATTACGTCGCAAGAGCTCAAGCTATCCACCACAATCTCCTCAAAGGGAATTGGCATCGGCTACCTCGCCGCCTTGTTTGTTCAATGCCTCGCTATTGTAATAATTATTGCCATGAAAAATACGACTTGGTCACAGCGGGTGGCATTGTTTGTCGTAGGCTGTTGGTGGACCATCTTCACCATCCCAGCCGCGCTGTGGCTTCGACCACGACCTGGCCCGCCACTGACCATTCATGGTCGCTCCGAAGGCATTTCTTGGATATCATATCTTGTATACTCTTGGAAATCTCTCTTCGAAACAGTGCGTGTTGCGCGCCGACTTCGCGACATTGTGCTTTTCTTGGCGGGCTGGTTTCTTCTGTCCGATGCCATTGCGACAACCTCCTCCACTGCCATCCTATTTGCCAAAACACAGCTCCACATGAAACCCTGGGCGCTAGGCATGATCAACGTAATTTCGACAGCCTCGGGTGTGTTCGGCGCCTTTGGCTGGTCGTGGGTCTCCAATTTCTTCGGCCTCAAGCCGCACCAGACCATTCTCGTCTGCATCTGCCTCTTTGAGCTCATCCCCATCTACGGCCTCATGGGCTATCTGCCATTTGTCCAGCGCTGGGGCGTTCTCGGCTTGCAGCAACCATGGGAAATGTACCCTCTCGCTGCCGTCTACGGCCTCGTCCTCGGCGGTCTCGGCGCCTACTGCCGCTCCCTCTACGGCGAGCTGATACCGCCTGGCTTTGAGGCGGCCTTCTACGCGCTCTACGCCATCACCGACAAGGGATCCAGTATTTTCGGGCCGACGATTGTGGGTCGCATCATTGACAAGACGGGCAGCATCCGGCCTGCGTTTTGGTTTTTGGGTGCAATTGTCGCGCTGCCGGCGCCGCTGATTTGGATGATCAACGTTGAGCGCGGCAAGCTCGATGCCGGCAGAGTCGCGCAAGCGTTGGAAGGAGTTGTGGCGGATACACATTCAGAGGAGGGAGGCGACGAGGAGAGACATGCCATACTCGGGCATGACGAGGAGCGCGACTCGGAAGAGACGGCAAGATGTTAAAGATGCGCTTTCTATTTTGTATAAAAGAATATGTACATGCCAGTGCATATATGGCGCCGTGGGAAACATTTTGAATTGGGAGACTGCGTTGCTAACATTTGATATGTTATCACTGTTGGCCCGGCGGGGTGTGTCGCTCATGGTAGACTCTTCCAGGCGTGCTCGGAAATTCAAGACCAGCAGCAGAGACGTGGTCATGTCAAGTTTCAACTAGCCCTATGGGGAAGAATACCCAGTAATTCTGCGCGGCTAGATCCTGGGTGAGAGGTACATCATACGATATTAACGGAGGCAGCATGAACAAGACCCAAAACGTTAATACTTTGACTCAGGGCTGTAACATGGATAAGAAAAAAAAAAGACTTTGAAGAGAAGTCTGAAACAAAAGAGAGAAAACTGCACGTATAATAATTATAGGATAAATACTTAACCGCAGTGTGAAAGTGAGATTTGTCTATCATTAGCAAGACACTGGACTGGGTACGGTTTCACAGCACGGGCACAGCACCTGGGGGACAAAACAGACCGTCGATGAGCCTCAACACCTGCCATGGGGACCGTCACTCGCCTCACTAGACTAGGGGTTTAAAATTATGAGATAAATACTAATAAATTCCTTAGCTACTAAATTGTAGATATATTGGTCTGAAAATTACATCTCGGATTATATACGAAGATGATTGCTGCTAGACGAAGTGAGCCTTCTGGCGCGGTCTGTTTTGTCCCCGCGGGACAGTTGATCCTGGGAAGGTGGGTGTGTCGCACGTGTAAGCTGCTTGGCAGTCCGGCATCTACGTAGACACTTGCACGAGGTCTCCACTGTAATTTCAGCGGACTGGCCCCTCCCGGTGTGGGGCGGACGGGCTCGGCTGCCTGCCTAATGGCTGCACTAATCTCAGCTATGCACTTTTTACTATCAGTACTGGGTAAAAGCTATGCTATTACAGTGGTCCTCTGGAAATTCTGAGCAAATCAACTCATGACCGACATGCAAAATTCGGTCTTGACTGGAATCCTTCAAGGTCAAAGAGGAGACAATATCGCGCTATTGGCATCGAGCATATTATTATCGGCACTGTTGGCCCTTGTCGGCACGTTTATTTGGGTGGCTGCCGACCAGCCACGAATCAGCCACTGCAGACGCCACAGCTGCGGGAGCTGGAGCTGCCCCCTCCAAATTTCAGGCACTGCTGACTATTTGCGTTCGGCGCAACGTCGCTCATCCCTCACTCACACTTTCCTGCCACACTGCAACGGGCTGCCTGAAGCTTGTTTCTACACATTTATGAGTTTGGCGCAGTTCTGGCCTTGGCCAAGTCGCTCACGGCACTACATTTCTATCCCGTACATATATCGTTCTCTTACAGCTCTAGGCCTGTAGCGGCTATCTGCGCGCCGCAACCACGCCGTTTTCTGTGGCGCGACACCCTTCCCCGACGGACGTGTTTTCATCCCCGTTGTCACTTTGCGAAACGACATACCATCGCGCTTGTGCAACCTCGATCGACCATATATATATATTTATTTGCCGCCAGAGGCTCAACCCTCCCAACACAGCACCCGCTTCATCACCTATCGCAACCATGAGCTCCAAATCAAAGAAGCGCTCACGCGCAACCGTCGAGGACAGGCGTGCCGACTGTCCCTTTGTGGCCACCACGGTACCGACACCGACCCCACGAGACGAAAAGGGCCACAAGGAAGCAAAGAGACGCAAGGGCGACAAGGCCGGCGGCGATAAGCCCTTCTTCCAGATATCGCCGTTTGAGCCGGCCGGCAAATTTCGCTCGCGCGAATCTATGGATACCCACTACCACATTAACGAGCGCAAGAGATGGACGGAAATGACAAAATACATGAGCTTCGTCTGTAGGTTTCTTGCTTGGGCGCGGATTGCTGAGGGCTTCTTGTGGTACTCGTACTGACCCGACCCCACCCAAATAGTAAGCGGCACCAAGTACTACAGCGACCAGTTTATTTTTGTGGCAAACGACGATGCCCTCGAACGCCAAAAGTCGGGCAAGCTACACAAAGAGCAAATCGGGCCAGGCGACTTTTGGGTGGCACGCATCCTCGAGATAAGAGCCTCTGATGAGCACCACGTTTACGCCAGAGTATTTTGGATGTACTCTCCGGACGAGCTGCCAGCAGCCACCGTGTCGGGCAAAAAGACGCCCGCTGGTCGGCAGCCACATCATGGAATCAATGAACTCATTGCTTCAAATCATAGTAAGTTTATTTTGCGTCTTCGACCGACAAAGCCTAATCAAGACAATCTAGTGGATATCATCAACGTCATGAGCGTGGTCCAACACGCTCGTGTCAACCAGTGGATCGAGTCAGACGATGAAACACAGGACGCCATGTATTGGCGACAAGCCTTGGAGTGCCAGACGATGCAGCTTTCAGTATGTCATGGAAACCGACCACACTATAATGCCCATTAACAGCGTCTAGACCATTGATCTGGTATGCCGTTGCCAAACGCCCGCCAATCCCGACAAAACCCTTGTAGGGTGCACGAATGGCGACTGCGGAAAATGGCTGCACCTCGAATGCCTGCGCGAAGATGTGCTCAAACGGGTCTATGACCGCCTGGGCACCGACAAGCCCCATATCCCCGAACCACCGGCCGTTAAGAAGGAAGAGGAAGATGCTGTCAAGAGAGAGTCGCCACAAGAGCCGCTAAGTCCGCCCAAGGTAGAGGATGAACAGCCACAAGCCACGATTGCTGTCCACGAAGATGCCATTACCGATGCGGTCGTCAAGCAGTCAGACGAGGACACGCCGAAGCCAGCGGGGCCGACGGCCCCAACAGCACAGTCACCCCCGCCGGAGAGACCGCCTGATAACAAAAGTCTTGTCAGGAAAAAGACGGCCAAAAGGCGCCTGCCAAGCTCTCAACATTGGCTTGAGAGTTTTAAGGCTGACTTGCGCATGAATAACGGGCCCATGGTGTGGGAAATAAATGACCTACGACAAGACGTGACTCGTGGGAGCAAGACCTGGACCGAGCCCGCAATTTGTTTACTTTGCAACCACACGATTGAATAATTTTGGGACAAGAATGTTGAAAAACAGTGTCGGGGTCTATTTGAAGCAATTTTGGGATGAGCAGAACAAGGCCATGTGTTTTATACTTAAATATCAGTAGGGGCAGCAGACGGGACTATTCTTTTGATGGGATTTTAAAAGCGGGTTACGGGATATTGCTTGACTATTTACTGGTGTTAGGCGACCAAGGAGCTACAACGAATCGATTACTTTTGGAAGCAAAAAATTGCAAAGCTGGTTCACGGCTCTCATGTTTACATGTGCTACTGTCTAGCAGCTAGGTGTGACGAGCCATGTCCGCGCCGGTACGTCATCTTGGGATTGACGCGGGGGTGGCATCGCACGCGCCCGCCCCACCCTCGGACAGCTCTCACCCCTCTTCAACCAACTTGGCGAACCTGGAACCTACACATCCAACGGGCGTGCACATACACATAACACCCTTTCGCCATGGCAGAAGTCGACCCTTTCGATTCGGCACTGTAAGCAGCCACTGTCATACATACAATGCATCTTGCCCTCTCCCCCCCTCCCATCACCTCCTCCCTCCCCGCTGCCCGCGCTGACCTCTGAAACCAGGGACCTGCTCCGCCGCCTCAACCCCAAGCACACCTCGGAGCACCTCGCCGCCATTATCTCCCTTGCGCCGGACCTGACTGAGGATTTGCTCTCGTCGGTCGATCAGCCGCTGACGGTGCGCCGCTGCAAGCAGACGGGCCGCGACTACCTCTTGTGCGACTACAACCGCGACGGGGACAGCTACCGCTCGCCGTGGTCGAATCAATTTGATCCACCGCTGGATGGCGCGGCGGGAGGCGTCGGCGGCACGGGCGGTGTTGGGCCAGGTGGAAGCGAGGGCGCGGGCGAAGGCGCGATTCCGAGCGAGAGGGTGAGGAAGATGGAGATCAAGGCAAATGAGGCGTTTGACGTGTACAGGGAGCTGTACTACGAAGGGGGTGTGAGCAGCGTGTATTTCTGGAACCTGGATGATGGTTTCGCTGGCGTTGTGCTTTTGAAAAAGTGTACGTTTCTCTTTTCTGCGTCTTTTTTCGATTTTGATCTGTGCAACACAACTTGGGAGACTAACTTTGTTTGTTGCTGCGAACAGCGTCACCACCCGGCGGATCCTCGGACGGCGTCTGGGACTCGATTCACGTCTTTGAGGCGATTGAGCGCGGCCGCACCACGCACTACAAGCTCACCTCGACCGTCATCCTCTCCCTCGCCACCGCCTCGCCCTCCTCTTCCACGACGACGACGACGACGGGGGCGGCGCTTGCGGGCGAACTCGATCTCTCGGGCAATATGACGCGCCAAGTTGAGCAGGACCTGCCCGTCGACGCAGACGAGAGCCACATTGCCAACGTCGGCCGGCTCGTCGAGGACATGGAGCTCAAGATGCGCAACCTCTTGCAAGAGGTGTACTTTGGCAAGGCCAGGGACGTGGTGGGCGACCTGCGCAGCGTGGGGAGCCTCAGCGATGGCGCGCGGGATCGGGAAACGCAGCGAGAGATTATTGGGAGCATGCGGAGATGATGGAAGAGGGAGGGAGAGAGGGAGAGGGAGAGGAAGAGCGGGGGCGCCGCAGAAAAGAGGGAGAGTTGGGGGTATGGAGCGCAAGAGAGAGAAAAGGCGGATATGTATGACAAGATGCATCTGGTGCGGCGTGGCTCTCAGGGTAGCTGTGATGGTCTAGATCCAAGTTACAATACAGCATTGTCGATTTCGTTATGCGACCGCGGCCTACGAGGCTCCTCGTCGGGTGTAAGACATGTTGCAGAAGAATGAGCCAACCACATGCTGACCGCTTCAGAGTATTACATGCCATTCGGGGGTGGCTTTGCACTTTACGGATAAGAGCTGCGTGACAAGTCCTTTTGTCCATTGTCTTGCTTGATGGATGAGCACCTGACGCGCATTTTTGTGTGTTGTTTTTATATTTGAGCTGACGTAGCCATCGAAACTACGTCAAAGACCACTCACGCCCGCACTACACAGGAAGCGAAGTGACAAAAACTGCCAGCCATCTCTTGGGTAAAGCAGGACGAGAGCCGAGATGGGGTTGGGAGCTGGGGGGACCCTGGATCTCTTCTCGGGGCCGACATGGCCAAACAACAACGACGATGACGACGGCAACAGAGACAACGCAAGTGATCTATCGCGCCGTACGGGCCACTGGAACTACAGAGGAAAGGGGGGAACAATTCACGCGGGAGCGACCCTGAACGGCTACAATGGTGAGCCATTGGGACGAACCGAGGCCGGCGCCATTACCGAAGTGAGAGGTTATTTTTACCAAGGCGAACAACAAACCTAAATAAGTATTTGCGTTTTTTTTTTCTTTTGTTCTCTTGTCCCTCCCTCGCTTCTCGGCCGGGGGGGAGATTACTGAGTCTTCGATTGCCAAGCCACGCCGGACAAGCACTGACAAGCGGCCGTTGGAAAAAGGAGGGGAAAAGAAAACGGCTTTTTCTTTTGCAAGGTACAGGGGCAAAGAAATCGTGCAGCGGCGTTGTGCATGTCTCGGATCAGAGTACGGGTCCGTACTCCGTAGAAGAAAACAGACAGGCAGACAGTCAGTCAGTCAAACACTGTAAATGGCTGGGGCGGAGAGACAACATTTGCAACATTGTCGCAGAGACGTCGCCGAACAGCAGCGGAGGGTTTGTTGTCTGATCGTGACAGCTCCCGATTACAATCTCTCATGTCGTATTCGTACGCTGCCAATCATGAGGGCTGTTTGGTCAGGAGGGTGTGTTAATTTACCACAACTTGTTGCAAATGTTGCCATTTATTAATAATGATTCTTTTTTTGTCGTGGAACGAGGCTCCGCCCCTTTGCATGTAAGCAGCAGCAGCCGTGTTTTAGTTTGTCGGAGTTGGTGGTGGTAGTGGCTGCGCGCACGGGTCGCAGCGGCCAAAAGAGACGTGTGTGCAGCCCATTCATTGCTTGCAAGGCAGGGAGTGGTCTTGCGATGATGATGATGATGATGATGATGATGATGATGATGATGATGATGAAGCTACTGAGACGGAGAGACACTGAGGCTAGCTGGCTGCGGCTGAGCTATTCTTGGGTTGACTGTCTGACGGCAACGTGTGACTGAAACCGACTTGCTGAACAGAAACAAAATCAAGAAGCAAAAAAATCAAATAAAGAATGAGCAAATTAAAAAAAAAAAAAGAAAAGAAGGTGTTGAAGCCGTGTCATCTTTCGCCACAGCATCCTTCTAGAACGGCGGATCGAAGGGGGGGCGGCTGTGGTGGGTGTGGTACCTGCAGCGCAGACATTGGAACCTCGAAGACGATGAGGGTGTGGTGCAGGGCTTGCCGTAGGATGGGGCCACGGCACGCAGTGCGTAACCAGTCGGGAAGCTGATGTTGGGACGGCTGCATTTCTCATCGTGTCATCATCTCAGACCTGCATGCCGGTGCGGCCAAGAAAAAGTGCGGAGGTGGTCGGAGAGGAAGAGATAGATGCGATGCGGATGCCCACCATGGCTGGGCAGATTCTGGCTTGTGCGGCAGAGCTGCAGAGCTGGGTGATGGCGGGACGACTCCATTTCGGCTACGGCGGATCATGAAATCTATAGGTGGATGTGTATATAGGCGAGTGGTCTTCTATTATCCATTATTGGGCCGAGAGAAAATGAGTCGACGCGCAATACAAGGTTGCTCCGAGATGGGTAGTTTGCGGCATGTTCCAGGGACATTATTGGTAGCCCGGGTATGAAAGAATAAAAAGAAGAAGGCAAATCTCTGAATATCTGATCATGTCTGTCTGCTTTAGGAGGTGCGCCACACTGCATGCTGCAAGCTGCAATGCGCGTACAGATTGCAGCAGGAGTCGACGAGTCCGGACAGGGCTACATATGAGCATGCACGAGATGCGAGACAATTAAAAAAAATCAAAAAAAGTAAAACAAAGACCCCTGTCCTGCGACAAAAGCCGCTCACCGACACGAGCCTGAACTTTTGCAGCTTGGGCGGCGTTTGGTGGGGGGGAGGAGTAGAGTTTTAAAGAGGGGCATGAGCTATGTGTGCTGAAGGAGAAGAATGATTCAATAATGAATGGTTGCCCAAAAGCGCAAAGCGATGGAAAAAGAAGAAGAAAATTCAATGGAAACAAGGATATCATAAAAAAAGATGGACCTGGTGACTTGCCCAGCTCAACGGGTAGAGGCAGCGGCCCGCCTTTGGCTTAGCGGAGACGTTGGGCTTTAATCTCCCGGGCTGCTGCCTTCCTTACCTATGTACCAGTACAGAATGACCATTGTCGTCATTTCATAGTGGTACTGGTGTTACGCAAGCTGGGCGGAAAAGGAGGGGTAAAAAAAAAAATTGAATAAAAAGAAAAAGAAAAAGATGAGAAATGAGGATGAGCAGACAACTTGCGCCCGTCTATTATAGATAGTTAGGCTAAATGGAGAGCCAGTCTTGGGGCGCGTGGGGTGTCGTCGAGGGTGCTGTAAACAAGTTGTACAAGCGTCGTGACTGGCCGGCGAAGGCTGCAGAGACGAGGTTTATTACCTTTGTACCTACATTCAGTGGGTCCAAGGTAATTCAAGAGCAAATCACCACCAAATCCCATTGCTGCTGGTTACCTACAGAGTAACTAGAGGCGAGCTGTGCAAGTCGGCTGATGCTTCATCCCCATCTCTAACTCCCTTGCACCACCACCACCACTATCACCGACCGACAGGGATCCCCTCCCGCTCCATGTCGCACAGCTACCACCGCCACCTGCAACCTCCCTGCCCCCCCTCTCTCTGCTTGCACGACAAGGAAATAAAAACTGCTTGTCCTTGTCGTCTTGTGTGCTCAGATTCACCAGCCAGTCATCTGGTGAGTGGTGACCCGTCCGGTAATCTGTCAGGCTGCTGGGGGGAGCCCCGAACCGCACTTGCACCTCTTGCACCGTCATAATAACCCGCTGGTCTGCCCCTCCTTCCTCTCTCGTTCCGCCCACGCATCCTCCCCTCCTGAGTGAGTCCTCAGCCAAACCTCGACAGCATCCCGTCTCACCTCTACCTACCTGCTTCCTCCACTTGCAAGCAACCCTCCTGCATCCCCTGCATCCTCTGCAGCTTTTGCATCCCTTGCAGACAGACCGCACACCATCTTCGACACCATCTACAGATTACCCTCTGCCCGTATATCAACAGGGCTCCGTTTTCTTTGCGACGCCCCAATCAACACTACCATTTACAACCACCAGCCATCTGGCAACTGTCATTCACATCTCTTGCGCCAAAATCTCTAGCCGCATCTTCCCAAAATAGCCTCGATCCTTTGAGTCGACCTGATACTATTTTACCAGCACGCGCGCCCCGTTTCCAATTCGTCCTCAAGCTTTCCAAACGAGTACGCCGCGCCAAAACCCTTTCGTTTCACTTGTGGGCAGACTAGCTCCTTGCTCCACGACTCTTGTCTGCTTTGAAAGGGCCTCCTGCATACTCCAACTGCCTGCTACAAACGCTTCCCACAACAGCCAAACAGCCAAAAACCGCACAACGCCCACGACATGGCAGACGCCAAGCCTTCCGTCCTCATTGTAGGGGGCATGGGCTATCTCGGTCGTTTCCTCGCTCTTCACATCAACAAGAATAAACTGGCTTCTCAAGTGCGCCTCGTCGACAAGGTATTGCCTCAGCTAGCCTGGCTGGCTCCTGAGTTTTCTGAAGCTTGCTCTAAGGACAAGTTCATGCAGGCAGATGCAAGCAAGCCCGGTAAGCTCTGCACCACCCTTTGCCCGTGTGCTACCTAGCCTACGCGCGCCTACCCGCTATACAACGCTAACACTCATTGTCCTCACAGACGGTCTCGCCAGGATATTCAATCGCACCGATGGAAAGGAATGGGACTATGTATTCAACTGCGGTGGCGAAACGAGATACTCGCAAGAAGACGAGGTGTACAAGCTACGATCCCTGAACCTCTCGGTTGAGCTCGGCAAGGAGGCCGCCAAGCGCAAAGTCAAGGTCTTTGTTGAGCTCAGCACTGGCATGGTGTATAAATCCGACTCGGCGCCCAGCAAAGAGACGGATAAGCTCAAACCCTGGAGCAAAATTGCCATATACAAGCTGCAGGCCGAAGAGGAGCTGGCCAAGATTGAACATCTCAACCTCGCCATTGTCCGACTTCCACACGTCTACGGCCCTTATGCCTTGCAATGGGTCGCCACGGCCCTGTCCATGGCCCGCGTTTACAAGCATCTCGGGGAAGAAATGAAGTGGCTCTGGACAAAGGACCTCCGCACAAATACTGTCCATGTCGTCGATGCCACTCGAGCTCTTTGGGATATCGCGGCTTGGTATGATGCCGGTAAAAAGAATTGGAACGAAACTGAAATGGGCAAGGTGCCCATCTTCAACGTTGTCGATAAGTCGGCCACAACACAGGGTACCATGGCCGAGATCATTGGAGATATTTTCGAAATTAAGACCGGATTCCAAGGTCAATTAGTAAGCTCATTCGCTCGCCTGAATCTGGACAGTGTTGTCGACGAAGTCAACGAGGAGGTGCTCGGACCCTGGGCACATCTGCTCAATGAGGCAGGCATTACTCGTACAGGACCTCTGACGCCATTCATGGAAAAGGAACTTCTGAAGGATACGGACCTGAGCATGGATGGAAGCAGATTAGACAAGTTGCTGGGCTTCACATACGAGAAACCCAAAATTACCAAGGCACTGGTGGAGGAAGTGATTGAGAGCTACAAGAAGATGAACTGGTGGCCTTAGGGGCTGCCACGTATGGCACAAGTCAATTTAGCGGCATATTGTTTGCGTACTTTGGGGAATGAAGCATGATAGCTGTCGACATATGAAGAATGAAGGTATGTTGGGACTTGCAGTTACTGTTCTAGCAGTGGGGTGATGAGCATGGCTGCCTTGTATAATTAGAAATATCCCGAGTCTAGGTAGCAAGCCAACTACGAGCGCTTTGCATGAAAAGAGAATCCACACGTTGCTAGAGTGTTTGTGCTTGGAAAGTGGAGAGTGATTAGAGGAATTTCGTTGTCTGGGACGAGAACTAAATGGCTGGAGCTGGAGGGATAGTCATGTCGGAGAGTCGAATGGATTGAGATGAAGGAACGAGCCGAGGCCTAGCTTGGCAAAAGGCCACGGGAGCTTGACGTCGCCCCTCTGCGGGCAAGAGGGGGAGTGAGGGGGGAAGAAGCTAGCGGCGCGGGGTTCCTCACCTTTTGGTGTGCACTTGTGACTAAAAAGATGGAAACGATCTTTTTGTTTCATCAAAGTCATCAGAGTCACAGTTTCATCTCCTCGTTCCTTATCTTATATCATAGACCAAGTCCCCATCCCCTTGTTCCTTCTCTTACGCACACTTTCTTCAACAGCTAGATCTCGTGCTTCGGAAGGGTATATATCATTCAGCCTTGTTTCTTGGTGATAGCTCGAGTACACCGTGCAGTCTGACCCCTGCCGGAACCTCATAGCTTCCTCTACCGCCAGCTTCTCAGAAGTCAGACATTGCCTCGCCACCATGGCCGCTCCTCCTGAAAAGACGACCAAGAACCTCACCGGCAAGTGGAACGTGGTGCGTCTCTCTTTTTCTTTTTGCCCTGCTTCCCTCGTTCTCCCCAAAATGTTTTGTCCACTTGAGTTCTGTTTACTGACCGAACCCATTTTCCTTTTTGTTTCCCCCGCTACGCAGAACTACACCTACTCTGACTCGAGCGAGCCGGGCCTCATCATCCAAGGCATCAGCTACCTTGTGCGCAAGGGTATCCTGGCGGCGACGCTGAGCCTCGAGACGAACCAGTACGAGGCCGCGCCGAGCCCCCCCAACGAGGACGAGCCGCCGTGCTGGCACATTGACATTGTACAGTCGGCGTCGGGCATGGGCACCGAGGAGCGGCGCTGCCTGGATAACACGTTTCGGCATCACTCGGACTGGCTGTTTGGCAACGTGCGCGGGCGGTCGAGGTGGGTGAGCGTCGAGGACATTGAGGATGCGTATTTAAAGGGGGGGTGGCTGGTGGAGGGTGAGAGCGGCAGCAAGGAGTTGATTGAGAGCCATGCAGAGTCGGAGGATTACGGGTGGACGGCGGATCAGATCTGGGGGTTCCAGGAGGTGGATGGGGAGAGGCGTCATTGTCGCAATATTGTCATTACAAAGGGGGATCAGCGCGCCGAGTTTAGATTTGTGTATGACTATGAGGAGTAGAGGCAAGGATTGGGAGGCGGTTGATGCGTTGGCGAGGACAAGATTTTGGCTTCGTGGCACGATTCCATGTGAGGGCAAGTCATTGCGTGACGCCAATGATAGAGATGGCAGATGCGGGTATCATGCCCCTATTGCTCTTTCTTCATGCTATATACATTCCTAGTAATCAGACCTTTTCCCGTTTTTACAGGCTTGTTTTCCTCCTACGTTGCCACTTGCCCCTTCAAGAAACTCTTCCTCCCCAACAGTCCAACATTAACCAGCCAGCCTCATGCGGGCCGTCTCTTGACAAACTCTTCCAAGTCCTGCACCGTTGCCACCCCCAGCACGAACCTCCTATTCTCGTCCGTCACCACCGCAAACTCTTGCGCCCACTCGCCGCCCCCTTCTTTCCCCCCGTCCTTTTCGCCGGCGCCGGCGCCGGCGCCGTCGCCGCCGTCGCCCCGGAAAAACGCCTCGAGCTCCTCCAGCGGTGTCTGCATGGTAATGACGCGGTACGCGCGCCCCTTTCGCTGAAACCGCGTCATGGCGGCCGACAGGGGGTCTTGAGGCTGCACGCTGCCGGCGTCGAGCTGCGCCTGCAGATGCGGCATGGCAATGTAGCCGAGGAGAGCGCGCGTGGACGCGTCGACGACGGTGAGGTGCGTGTAGTCGCGCTCAAAGGCGGAGAGGAGCGCGTCGGAGACGCTGTCGTCCGGGGTGAGGGAGAGGGCGGCGGGGGGATCGAGATCTTCGACGGTGGCCTGGGTAGTTGTGTGTCTTGTGTGTGAGTAGACTGAAGGTTACTGTGGAAAGAGAGAGTAAAAAGAAAAAGTAAGAGAGCGCGCCGGACGCATGGCCCCGTGGTTTGGAGGTCATGGCCGCCGCAGGGCTGGGGTTGGGGGTTGGGAGTTGGGATTGGGGGGGGGACGATGTTTTTTTTTTTTCTTTCTTGTGACGTACCCCACGATACCGCGCCGCCCAAGGCGACGAGAATTGGCTATTGGTGGCGGCTTGTGAAGCCATGGCGGCTATATGTGTGCGGAGAGAGAGAGGGACAGAGAAAGCTGTCGGACGGGGGAAGAAGCGTAGAAGATGCTTTGGCCGAGCCGGTCGAATTGAGGGGCAAGAGGGAATAAGTTGGAAAATCGTCCCCCACCAACTGTCGCAAGCGTCTGAGGTCATGTAGAACGCCATTTTCTCCACCTTTGACTCAAGAAAAAAGAATTATATATAGCTGTACTCTTAAGAGAAGGAAAAGTAGTAAAATAGATACAGTAGTAAACTTCTTCAATATGTGATAAAATATTGAATTTGCTCAATCATGATCAAACTATATTCTAATACTTTATATTTCTGCTCAATCAATCACCTGTTAAAGCTTGAACTAGCTACTAGACTAGATGACTGGTACGACAAATTCCTTAAAAAGACTGCCCAGCAAAATGACGAAAAAACCACAAAAGACCACTGATGAATCAATTCATGTAAAGCACCCCGCTGTATTTGCCCAAATAATCTGGTCAGCCCTAGTTAGAGAATTGTCCGGCCGGCACCACTGCACAGCTCTTCTCGGGGGCGGTCGGAGCTTATGCGGGCCTGTCCGGCGCTCCTCGCCCCACACGAGCTCCGAATATTGCGAATATGGAACTCGGAAAACAAAGTCAGACCTGGAAAAAGCTGCACGTAACTGCAACAGGCAACGCCCGAGAACGGGAAGCGAACTACACACCAAAAGCTACATAGCTTGTTGTCGAAAGGAGATGGGTCCCAAAGGTTAGTTCTGCGGCAACTGGCCCAAAAACTAGGTCGTCGAGGACGCTAGAATGCGGTCATGGCATTCCAAACACGCAAAACGGCCGAAGGTAGGCACACTTGTGGATATTTAGCGCAAGTGACCAGTCAAGCATGATTTCGACAAATCTCAGGCATACGGCGCTGCAAGAGGAGGTGTGGTGGGAGCCCGGGGCGTTACCAGGATTCTTAACTCCGGGCGGTGCCCAACTGGGATGTCAACTGATCCATTGCAACCAAAGATTTTGTTTTTTTTACTGTCGGTGGCGCCCTATAGGTTGCTTTTGGCTGCTCTAGATCAAAGTCGAGGCCATTGTCCGCCAGCGATGAACAAGCTATAGTTTGATACCCATATTGCCAGGTTTTTGAATCGAGCATCACGACGTCACTTTGGCCTCAGGTTTTGTCAGACGCGGGCAAGACACCACCTCTTCCGCCCAAGCCGTGATCCTTCTCCACAAAACGAATCCTCTTGCGCTCACACAGGTTTCCGCTACGTCTCTTTTTGTCATTACCGGTCGTTCGTATTTATTTTCTATCCGTCATCTACCCTGACACTTCCAAACACCAGGCAATTCAATCTGCCGCTCACCACCGGGGCTACTTTATACCCATCACCTCTTGATTTCTTTCTATCTGCCAAAAAAAAAAAAAAACCATGGTCTCCTACTATCCTCATCCGGACGCCATCCAAGCCGCCGTGTGCACGCCGCCCGTGGCGGATCGCCTCGCGCACGGCAAGCCGACGCCGTACCAGGCCCGGCCGGAGCTGTACGGCGCCTTTTCCGTCGTCGAGGACGCCAAGGACAAGGCGAAGCAGCTGAGCGCCGAGGCGCAGAGGGAGTTTGACCGCGCCGCGGCCAAGGCCAAGCCCAAGACGGCCACGATGGAGCTCTACTCGGGCTCGTACTATGCTGCCTGCACTTTTGGTGGCCTCCTTGCCTGTGTATGTCAATTGACCGATTGCTGGAAATGAGGTGGTTGTGCCCAAGGCTGGCAGACTAACACTCGCATGCGTGTTCAGGGCCTCACCCACGCCGCCGTTACGCCTCTCGATCTCGTCAAGACGCGCCGCCAGGTCGACCCCAAGCTGTACACGAGCAACATCCAGGCGTGGCGCACAATCTACCGCGCCGAGGGCATCCGCGGCATCTTTACCGGCTGGTCCCCGACGCTCTTTGGCTACTCGGCGCAGGGCGCCTTCAAATACGGCTGGTACGAGTACTTTAAAAAGACCTACGCCGACATGGCGGGTCCCGACGCTGCCGCCAAGCACAAGACGGGTCTGTACCTGGCCGCTTCCGCGTCGGCCGAATTCCTCGCCGACATTGCGCTGTGCCCGTTTGAAGCCGTCAAGGTCCGCTCGCAGGGCACAATCCCGAACCCGTACAAGGGCACCTTTGACGGCATCAGCCGGATCGTCGCGAAAGAGGGCGCGGCGGGCCTGTACAAGGGCATCTACCCGCTCTGGGGCCGCCAGATCCCGTACACAATGATGAAGTTTGCCTCGTTTGAGACGATTGTGGAAATCATGTACTCGCGCCTGCCGGGCTCCAAGGCCGACTACTCCAAGGCGGCGCAGACGGGCGTCTCCTTTTCGGCGGGCTACCTCGCGGGCATACTCTGCGCCATTGTCTCGCACCCGGCCGACGTCATGGTCAGCAAGCTCAACTCGAACCGCGCGCCGGGCGAGGCGTTTGGCAGCGCGATGCGGCGCATCTACAAAGATATTGGATTTAGTGGGCTCTGGAACGGACTCCCCGTCCGCATTGTCATGATTGGCACCTTGACGGGTCTGCAGTGGATGATTTATGTAAGTGGCCTTGCTTGTGGTGGACGTGATGACCTAGCGTGATGGTGTGCGGTCTGCTAACTGGGCGGGTTTAGGATTATTTCAAGATTTTCATGGGTTTCCCGACTACGGGGGGTACCACGCCTCCAGGCCAAGAGAAGAAGTAAAATGAAATAGGCTGTCGCTCTTTTGATTTTTATATACACTGAAGTTGTCGATGGGGAGTGGCTTTGCATCTCTGCTACGTTGGAAGCTATTGAGAATGCTCGTAAAAGGTGGAGCGCCACTCGTTACTTGCCAAAGATTGACAAGCAAGAACTTCAGACTGGTGGACATAGATGATTTTGCGAGGAAGAGTAGAGCATTAAGTGATAACGACAATATGTTAAAAGGAGAGAAAAAGGAGTAGTAAATGAAGCAAGATGGATAGCAAGTAAACAAGTACCCCGCAGCGTCCGCTACCTGGGAGTAATTACTGAGAGGAGGGGGCCCGCACTGCCTGCAAAGCGGCAAGCGGGTACCAAAAACATGGCATGGTTACCTTTTGATGGACAAGCCTGTGGTGAGATTGTGGGGTATTGTACCTGGCTACGGATAGAATGACATTTGTTTGTTCAGATTCCACTGGCGGTACAATTGTTCGTCTGCGCGCCAGCGTTACGCAAGTCATACTTGATGGTGGTTACATGATAAAACACACTTATTAAAAGGCGCATAGGAAGTCGACCAAGAATGAAGCGTTGGCCGTGTATGCTGATTTGTTCCAGCACAGGCAACCGCGTCACTGCTGGCTTAAATTAGTTAAAGAAGCCAATCTATTTACGAAACAAAAGTCCCAGACCCACCCAACAAACTCCACCGTCCAATAAAAGACAGCTGTTCCTCAGGTGGTTTGAGCGCCCGCAGCCGTTTGATTCGTCTGTTGCCTCGTCATCTTCAGGCTCTCAGCTGCCTCAACATAATCATCGGATACATTCGCTGCTGTGAAGACGCTCCGTTTACTCGATCAATTCATTTCTGTCCAGCGCGCCACTTGTTTCTGTTTCTTCCCATCCAATTCTCGACAGCGTACCCTAGTTCTGGCAGCCTGGCCCAGCCGCCAGCTTCCAGCCGCCTCCGCATTTTCAACTCAGCCTACCTAACGCACTGCTTACCACACCACACGACCAACCACACTAAATTTAGAGCCAAATTCGTTCACTTTCCTCTCTCTCCTGCTTCTTTCTCGCCCTCTCTCTCTCGCCATTTTTATCGACCATCCTGCGAATGAGTTCACTCCCACGATAGCCTCCACCTCTATCCCTGCAGCTGCTCTCTGCAGCTGCTCCCTGTCAGCCTCGCCTCGCCTAGCCTCGCCCCAGCTGAGGCCTGGTCGTCCAACTCTCCCCGCACAACTCGCCCTCGACTCCCACGCTTCTCGCCCATCCTGTGCGCCCCTCGCGCTCCCACACCGTCATGCCTAGCCTCTTCACCAAAATCAAGGGCTCCAACACGGTATGTCTACTCATTTCCATCCGCGCCCGCGACTGCGCCCCCGTTGCCCTATTGCCGCATGCGCTTTTGCGGGTCGAACGTCACCATCACCAAGTCGCCAACCACTGATCGATGTAAACTTCTAGCCCTCCACAACGCCCACTACCAAGGACGCCCCCCTCAGGAAAAATAACCATGTTACCACAGAAGTCACTCCTTTGGCAAAGATGCTGCAGAACGCTGGCCCTCTCACCCAAGATGGCCGCGACAGATTTCTGGGCTTCGAGAATGTGAGTAGATCAGATCTGAGACATCATCTCAAACTCTCGCTAATCTCCGCCATGATAGTTTGGAAACACTTGGTAACCGAATCGCTTCACCTCAACGTATCTTACGCTAACGAAGCCCAGCTACTGCAACTCTATCGTCCAGGCCCTCTTCCACTCCGACCAGTTCCGCGAAGGCGTCTTAAACTATCCCTCCCTCTCCCCGACCGATACACCCAACCCTCGTCCATACAAGCCAAATGTCACCATACGACCGCCCGTCACACCTGCTACACCTGCTACGCCGCAAAAGCAGCCCAAGCTGTCGACAGCTCAGGCCCTCAGGCAACGCCAGGCTATCAACTCGGGCCAGCCCATCCCTGGCCAGCAGCCCGTAAAGCCAGAGGACAAGCCTGACACCCCGGAATACAAGAAGAAGCAGGCCATGCTCAAGGGCCCAATTCTTGAGCTCGCTCAGGAAAGCCGCGTCCCCTTTGACATGAACGAATGCACATTTACCGGGCTCAAGGACATCTTCCTGGCTCTCACACAGAGCAATTCCAGAACAGGAGTCCTGAGCCCCCAACGTTTCTTGGAAATCTTTAAGCGCGACAATGAAATGTTTCAAAGCTCGAATCATCAAGATGCTCACGAATTTCTGCGTCTCGTACTCACCGACGTCATTGCCAGCGTCGACAATCACGCCAAGCACATCCAGGATCATCTTGACACAAGCTCTGCCACAAATGGCTTATCCGAATCTCTGCGCAACGCCGTTTCTGCGGGTCTTACAACTGGCTCACCGTACAACTCCCCGGGTACTGGCTGGGTACACGATGTTTTCGAAGGTGTTGTGACATCGGAAACAAAATGCTTGACGTGCGAGACGGCATCACAACGTGACCAGACCTTTTTGGATTTATCAATTGCCCTGGACGAGCATACATCTGTCACCTCATGTCTACGCAAATTCTCTGCCGAGGAAATGCTGTGCGAGAGAGACAAGTTTCAGTGCGACCATTGCGGCGGTTTGCAAGAGGCTGAAAAACGCATGAAGGTTAAGAAGCTACCCAAGGTCCTTACCCTACATCTCAATCGATTCAAGTATACAGAAGACTACAGCCGGGTACAGAAGCTGTTTCACAGAGTTGTATATCCTTACCACCTTCGCATGTTTCATACCGCAGACGAGGCGGAAGACCCAGACCGTCTCTATGAACTCTACGCTGTCATCGTTCACATTGGTGGCAACGGCTATCACGGACACTATGTCTCCATCATCAAGACCAGGGACCGCGGCTGGCTCCTGTTTGATGATGAAATGGTTGAGCCTGTTGACAAGCACTTTGTCCGCAACTTTTTTGGCGACAGGCCTGGAATGGCCACAGCCTACCTTTTGTTCTACCAGGAAACGACTTTTGAACAGGTCCGCGCCGAGCAAGAGGCCGAAGGCAAAGAAGAGGTTCGGCTGGCTACAGAGGCAGCCAACATTGCAAACGAGGAAAGCGACAAGGCGGAAGACACGCCGCTATCTCGGCAAAAGACACAACCCACGCCTGTGTTGTCTGAGCAAGACCAACTGTCAAATTTAGCCCACGCTCAGACTGCTCCAGACTTGACACCGCCCTCGCCAACACCAAATCAAGGCTCAGTTCCTCCGACACCAGTCATTCCATCAGCATCCACGTCAGTCAAGTCCAAGGACGAGCTGAAGCGCGAGAAGAAGGAGCGCGAAGCTGCCGAAAAGGCCGCCCGCCAACAAGAAAAGGAAGGGCAGAAAGCCAAGGAAAAGGAACTACGAGAGTACGAGCGAAAGCGTCGCGACCAGGCCATTTCCATGATCCAAGCCCGACGTCAAGAGCAAGATGAGCTGGAAAAGGTGCTGCAGGCGAGCAAAAAGTCGGCCGCCAAGGAAGAGGACGCGCGGGAGAAGAAAGAGGGCAACGGTGGTGCCTTTGGCTTCCTCGACCGTTCGAAGCGCGGCAGCAAATCGGGCTCACGCAAGGCTTTTGGTCTGTTCGGCAAGGGCGGAAACGGCGATGATTCTGCCGTGGAAGTGGTCGTCAACGGCGACTCACCCGAAAAGGAAAAGACAAGGAGCCGTCTAAGTATGGGCCTAGGCCGCAAGAAGAGCACCAATCTCTTATCATAGCGCCGAGTATCATCAAGCTTGCAACCTGGAGCAATTGTTCATCTTTCAGACATGACGGACCTGTATAATAATCAGTTTATGGTGGGAATCTTGTCATTGTGCTTTAAACCTGGTCGCGAAGCTCGGTGTCTTTGCCTGGTTCTGTAAATAATGGTAGGCACTGAGAAAGAGGAGGGAGTACATTTGGAAGCCAACAAGCCTTTGGATTTATTGTGGAAATTTGCGCTTTTATAGCGTTTCAGGACTATCATTTGCAGGCGCGTCATGTCGCCGATCGTATCTAGACATATTGGCCATGCTCTCTTTAAATGCCTTTACCGTGTCAATTCGCCGGCGTAGGCTAACCCCGAAAATACTGGGAGCCTTTCGACCATGTCGAGAGTGGATGCACACCGTGCTCGCAGCTTGAACTATGCTTTCAAATACGAAAAAAATGGCAAAAGCAGACAGACCTTTTGCAAAGACAAAAAGAAGTGAGACGTTTCTTTAACACGGGGGTTTAAAAAAAGAAACTTGGACTAACCGCGGATTGAACGCGGGACCTTTCCGAATGGACGTGCAAACATGCGAACGGAAAATCATACCACTAGACCATTAGCCCATTACAAGCTTGATCATAAAACCACTATTCCACATTATAATTACAAATTCATTCCCTCTTTTTTTGCGGAGTCCAGAGATGGAGTTAAGTGATGAGGTCAGCTTTGTCTCAATATGAAGAATTAAAGGATAAAATAAAGTTGGGATAAAAAATGTGATGACGTGTTGGCGGCGTGAATTGGCGTAAACGTGGCGTTGTGAAAAGAGTTTAGAGGAGAGTGGCAGCCACTGGGAAAGGGCAGGCACGACGGCATGGCTTACACGCTGTTGTTGTTGTTGTATTATTTTACGCCTTGTGGATATCCTCTGAAAGGCAAAAGGCCCTCGCCGGGTACTGGACGTCATGCTCCGTTGCTTGACATCGATCCTGCCCTTACGGCAGGGACGATATTAGTTGACTAAAGTAATGTACAGTATCTCTGTCCTATAGTTAGAACGTTACAAAATGCTATGCAATACCAGCTTGAACAACCGGGGGTGTGAGTATGCCCAGGGGAGGCGAGAAATCAGTGGCTTGAGAGAGGTGTGGTCAGTCGTCGTACGTACCGGCCTGTCAGCGGGGCCCGCGAACGCGCAAGGCTTACACGCTGGCTGATGAACCAACAAGCCGAATTGTTTGTTCTATTTGTTCGACCACAACGCAAGAGTTGTCAGCTAATTTTTTTTGTGGCTGGAGCGCGAAGTCGTCGGCCTGAGACGATCCTTGTGATGTTGTTCGCTCCGCTTTGCGTTCTGGTGACCTCTTGTAGCCACTTCCAGCCACAAATTGGTAACGGAAAAAAAAAAAAAAAAAAGAAAAAACCCCCCAAGAAGTTTGATAAAAAAAAAGTATGATACTAAAAAAGATCTATCGCTCCGTGTATTTAAAGGGGCGAGCCCTTAGTTTATTAAATGACTTTCTCTCTCTGACGTACACTTCCACGCAAACCACATCTCATCAACTTCAGTACTCCGTCCGCCATCACCATGCGTTTCACCGTGCTCGCCACGTTCATCGCCCTCGCAGCGGCGGAATCCTTTCCTTCGTTCTCTGACCCGTCTTCTTCTTCTTCTTCTTCTTCTTCTTCTTTTTCTTCTGCTTCCCCTTCTTCTTCGGCTTCTTCAGCTTCTTCTGCTTCTTCTGACTCCTCCTTCTCCTCCTCCCCCCCCGACGATGACGACTTTGCATCTCACTACGTCGCCTACTACTCCCAGTATCAGCTCGGCCGCCTCGCTACCTTTCGTGCGTCCTACAGCGGCAACGATTCCCTCACCGAAGTGCAAGACGCGGTGTTTTCTCGCCTCGAGACGGCCGTCGCAACCGGCAACGCCAGCGAAATTGCGGCGGTCAAAGACCTGTGCATAGGCACCTTTGGGCTCGCCGGCTGCAGGAAGCTGGCCGGGGCCGAGGACGAATCGTGCGACGGCGGCAGGGAGCAGCTTCTGCAGCGACAGCTACTTCACCGCAGAGACATGATGTCGTCACGCCCGATATGCACATGCACCGGGCTCAGAGAGATCATCATGAGTGAAAAGTGCTTTTGCATGCATCGTCGTGAGAACTGCAGGTATATTGTCGGTGAGTTTTTTTTTCCCCCTTGTTTGAAAAAAAGTCTTGTTTCCTCTTCTTTGGCTTTTCTTGTTGTTGCTTTGACCAAACAGATGGACAGGCGGCCCTAACAAATGGACAGGCGGATGCGGCTTCATTCAGGGTCTTGCCTGTGTTGGTCGCTGTGCCCCCGGGACCTAGGCCTGCAGCGAAGAAGTTGCTGGGAGGCATGGTGGCATGGTGACATGGTGGCATGTTTGTGTGCGTTTTTTTTTGTTGCATTGCTGCAAGATGACATTCCTAAATGTTGCCAATGTAGTCGTTCTTATGAACGTATATATAGGGCCTAATTTACATCAATGAAGGTGTGGATCCTCATTTTTACTACATAAGGTAGTTATGAGCCTGGGAGCCTTCCCTAGGAAGGCTGTAACTTCCACTAGAAATTGCTACACCTTACTGAGTACTCCACTGATGTTCCCCTGCGACCTTGGCGCCTTCATCTGCCAACTTCATCCCTCAAACGCCAGCATGCTGCCCTTTTAAGCCATCACAGCACCAACATGATCCCACGCCCAACCCTCATTCCATGATCTTTCTGCATCAATTTGCATCACATCCAGCCCATTGCCCCTGATACTTGCGTCTTGCGGGCTCATCATGGCGCCCAACTCTCTTGGTATGGATGAAACTTGTTCTTCTTCCACCCTCCCTCCCTGCCTCTCTCAACCAAGCATTCATCTCTCCATCTTCCTCAGCGCGCGCGCTCCGCAGCTAATAAAACTCGAAAAATAGATGTCGCTCTCAACGTGCTGCTCTTTGCCGTGCCACTCGCGCACCTGCTCCTCGCGCCATTTTCCAAAGTCGAGGAGTCCTTCACCCTGCAGGCCGCGCACGACGTGCTCGTCTACGGCACGCCCACCGGCGCGGACCGCGCCGCCGCGCTCGCCGACTCCTACGACCACTTTGTCTTTCCCGGCGTCGTGCCCCGCACTTTTATCGGCGCCGTCGTCATTGCGGCCCTGAGCCAGCCGCTCATTGCGGTGGCCGGCTTCGCGCGCGCCCAGATGCTGGTGCGCGGCGTCTTGGGCGCGCTCAACGCGCTGAGCCTGCTTGTTTTCCGGCGTGGCCTCGACGCGGCGTTTGGGAAAGCGACGGGGCGTTGGTGGGTAGTGCTCGTGGTGAGCCAGTTCCATCTCATGTTTTATCTGAGCAGGACGCTGCCCAACATGTTTTCCTTTGGCCTGAGTTTGTTAACCCTTCTCAAATCCCCCTTCAGTCTAGGTACTCTTCCTGACTGACTGACTGACTGACTGCAAACAGCGACGCTCGCTGCGGCGTTTCTCCTCCCGCAAGCCACGCCCGCGCTCGCTTTCGCCCGCCAGAAGCAGGCTCTTCTCCTGCTCGTCTTCTCCGCCGTCGTTTTCCGCGCCGAAACGGCCCTGCTCCTCGGCGCCACCTGCCTCCACCTGCTCTTCCGGCGCCGCGCCACCCTCACCCGGCTCGTCCCGTTGCTCGCGGGCCTGTCCCTCGGCGCGCTCCTCCTCTCGGTGCCCGTCGACTCGTACTTTTGGCAACGGGGCCTGCTCTGGCCGGAGCTCGCCGGCTTCTACTACAACGTCGTGCGCGGGTCCGCCTCGGCCTGGGGCACCTCCCCCTGGCATTACTACTTCTCCTCGGCTCTGCCGCGGCTACTACTAAACCCGCTCGCGCTGCCGCTCGCGGCCTGCGCGCTCTGGTGGCCCGCGACGCGGCACCCGGCCGCTGACCTGGTTGCGCCGCCCCTGCTCTTTGTTGCCCTTTATTCGCTGCAGCCGCATAAGGAGGCGCGCTTCATCTTTTACGTCGTGCCCGCGCTCACCGCTGCCGCTGCCCTCGGTGCCAACTACGTCTACACGCGCCGCTCCAAGTCCCTTCTCTACCGGATAGTCGCTGCGGCGCTTCCGCTCTCCATTCTCGCCTCCCTGGCCGCCAGCCTCGCCATGCTACTCGTCTCCTCGCTCAACTACCCCGGTGGCGACGCCGTCGCGCAGCTCTTCCAACTCACGCACCACCAGCACCACCACGCCTCTGCACCGCCGCACGACACCCTCTCCGTCCACGCCGACGTCCTCACCTGTATGACGGGCCTTACGCTCTTTGGCCAGAACCCGCACGGCCTACCATTGGCCTATGGCGCGCCGCCGCCTCGCTCGTCGCTCGTCGCCGCCGCTCCGCCGCTGCTGCTGTTTGACAAGACCGAGGATGAGGCCGCCATGGCGCGGCCCGACTTTTGGACGCGCTTCGACTACGTCCTTACCGAGGACCCCGGGAAGATCACCACCGGTCAGTGGCGGACCGTCGGCGTCGTGCAGGGCTACGACGGCATCGAGCTGCTGCGTCCCGGTGCCACGGCCGCGGGCGATGCCAACGACGTTGACGTCGAGGCCATCCCGCAGGTGGCCAGCCTCCAGCCCCCGCTTCTGGGACGCGGTCTCGCAGTTCGCAACATGCGCCGTTTTGTGCGGAGCCTCACCAGCGGCTGGTACGCCGGCCCGCGCATGGCGCCGCGCATTCACATTATGCAACAGATCACGGCACAGTCGCGGCCTAGCAAAGAAGCGACTGCATAAAAGTTTCACGTTACTCAACGTGTATCAATACCAAAAGAGCGAATCCTTTCACATTCAGACGTACTTTATCATATAACAATACCAAAGAGTAAATCAATCTTGCATTTAGACGCACTGTTGATGTGCGCTTCTGCTTCTTGTTCGACTAATTTTATGTATTATATAAGTCGTAGCGGTATATATGGACAAAGACAATCAAGTAGCAAACACAAAGTATGTATATACCCGCCTACTGCAATTCGCTGCTGATCACGCGTCAAACAAACATGCATCAACGCCAGGGCCTCTCTCTCCAGGAAAGTTTGACAAAAAGGCACATCCTAAAACAAGACTTCAAAACCAACAGACATCCCATGTCACTCGTAAATCAAGTATCCACCATCCTATTCGGCTCCATACAACTGCGCGCGCGGGGGAGAAAAGGATCGTTAATAAAACAAGGCTTAAAAGCCGCCATCCAGGAAAGGAAAAAGGGTGAAAAGCACACGTGTGCAGTGGTGTCATTGTTAATCCAAAGGCATCTGTCAGATATCTAGAAAAGTGTTTTGGAGGCTCTGATATGTCTGGTCCTTGCCGCCTTCGATCTGCTTCGTCTTCTCGTCGGGAAGCGGGCCGTAGAGGGCCTTGTATCGCGCAAGCTCGTCCTGCTGCTGCCTGAAATGATCAAAGATGGCGGCCATGGGTGCCCGCAGCTCGTTGAGCTCCTTCAGCACAATGTTGCCACTGGCGAGATGACGCATGGCTAGCGTAGAAACACACGTCTCGATCCTGCTGACCTGGTGCGCCATGAAATTAACGAGAAAGCGCTCCGTCATCTCGCCGCCCCGTGACTTCAGACGCTCCATCAACTCCGTCTCGGGTGGTTGCAAGCCCGGGCCGCGCACCTCTTCCAGCGTGCTGCACAGCATCTCCAGACGTAGGCTGATCTTCCAAAGCGCCCAAATGTTTTCCGGGTCAAAAGACAGGTCGCCGCCAGGGACCACGGCAGCGGGCTTCTCAAGCTCATCGCGACGCTCGTGCTGCGCGTGGAACTCGGTGCGGCCGGCCAGTGCGTGGGGATACAGTGAGTAGACGGTTTCAGGGTTTTCGAGACCCTTGAGCTTCTTCTCACCCATTTCCTTGACTTCGAAACCTTGCGACGTCAGGCTGCGAAGATCTTTGCGAATAGCGCTGGCATATGATTCGTCATCATATCCTTCTTCAGATCCTGCAGAACCGAAGCGGTCGGTATCTTGATAGTTTTCAAGGCATCGTTGAATCTCGGAAATAAAGTCGGATGACACAGTAATTTGACCACCGTCGGCTACTGCCGAGATACGTGACGCCTTATTGACCATGGGGCCGAAATAGTCCATGCGACGGGTGACTGGGTCAGTCTCGCTCACACAATCACCAAAGTGAATACCCATGCGCACCGACAAGCCCTTGAAGATCAGAGTGTTATCCTTATCGTATACTGGCTGACCAGACATGGAGCTCAGAATCTCCGACGGCCAGGTGACCTCTAGGAGTTCATTTTGAACGGCAAAGCACCACAGCAGCGCAGATGTGGCGGTTGGAAAAGACACCATGAAGGCATCACCTTCCGTTTTGACTTCATAACCACCGATGCGCCGCAGCTGTCGTCGCATAACTTCGTTGTGGAGCTTGATACCGGATCGCATGGCGCTCGAGTACATTTCCCAGAGATTGGTGGAATTCTTGATATCGGTAAAGACAATGGATACATTGCCAGTCGGCGCAGGTATTTCAGCCTCCAGACGATTAAGTGACGAGTCGAGAACGTCTCCTTTTGTCTTGCGTCCTCTTCTCGTAGAAAGAACCTGCGCATCGTCAGGAACGCCAGACGGATAAAGTGACATGCTGGTGCCACGATGTAGTCTAGATCGCTCCATTCTGCGTTTCAAATCGGCAACGCTAATCATCATGACCATTATCTTACCCGAAGATCCATAAGCCATGGCCAGGTCTCGCAGCTTCTGAGCAGCGCGCATGAGATCTAGACGTTCAGATCTGGCAACATCGGTAATCAAGCCAGGGGAAAGGTACTCCCAGAGCTCACTTGTGGCAATGAGAATTATCTCGTCATGTTCTTGGATCGTCATCTGGCGCACGTGCGGCGCAGCTTGGACAGCAGGCATCAAGTCCACATAACCGAATGCGCGCGACACTTCGAGCAGGTCGTTGAGGCGACCGTTGCGAGATACCCAGCCACCAGCTTCACGTATACGAGAGCGCTCGCTCGGCTGAGCAGGATCATGTTTGTGCGTCAGTACTTGGTATTTGCCATTGGTCTGGATGACCATGGCTTCCGCGTTTCCAATATTAGCGACGTATAGGTCCGTTCCTTGCAGATATAACACGGTGGCAACACCTCCAGAGTTGAGGTCTTCCTTGCTGAGAACAACTGGTTGTGCGGAACCCCTGTGAGACTTCTTGGGGCGGTCTTCAGCGTGCTGTACCGCGATGGAAACGAGATCTTTGTTAAGCGAGAGGAACGCTCGGCGCAGAGCATCAACTGGGGTCTCGTTGTTGCGCGTCTTGAGAGCTTTGAGCTCCATAGCAAAAATGTGCCCAAAGTTCTCGTGCAAGTACTTGGCAATCTTTGATCCGCCGCTGGAAAGCGCCTGACCATCGAACAAGCCTAGTAGCATTTCCGTGTCTGACGAGTTGAAGCGAGGCACAACCAAGTCGACAGTAGACAGGTGCTCGTTTTTGCCGAGGGTATCCGCCATACCGTAGGGGAGGTGGCCGGCCAGCGAACCAGAAGTACGTACTCGCTTGTCTTCGCTTTGATCAGGAATGCTGGGCTGTGTGAGAGTTACGTCCATCAGTCCCAAAACTCGGAGGTTGAGCAGTCTGCTGAAATCGGTATACTCTTCACGATTCACTGCTCCGGGACCTCCAGGGCCCCACGCACTTTGCTTGATCTCGAGTCGCTTATTGCCTGACAGGTTGAGGTATCGCAGGTTTGGATTCAAGTTCCAGTTCCAGTCGTAGGGAACATTGGAAATGTTGTATTTGAGCGAATTGTTGCCACAGTCGAGAACAGCCAGCTTCTTGGCCCTGGAAATATCCGCCGGTAGGTTGGTAAATTTGTTTCCGTTAATATATAGTGCCTGGAGCAAGCTGGTTTCCTCCAAGTCATCTGCCGGTAACGTCGTCAGGCCGTTGCCGGAAAGATACAACTCAACGAGCTGAGGCCAGCTCTTGATGGATCGCTGAGGCATATCGCCGATTTCCTCATTGTAGGATAAATTGAGAACGCGAAGCTCAGTGAGCATCGTAATTTGGTCAAAAACATCGTCGTCTAGTCTGTTGTCTGCAAGAGACAGATTGCGAAGTGAACCCGCAAATGTATTCGTAATCCTCGACGAAAGTCCAGAATCTTTTCTAGAGGTGGACGGTGGAGGCGTAACAGTAGACGAGGTAGTCTGCGAGGCTGTTCGTGAAACAACGGACGTTTTACGCCCGCCCTTGCCATACAAAGACACGACAGAGCTCTTCCGATCTGGACCGCCTGGAGTTGGTGAGGGGCCAACACTCAAAAGCGTGCTGGACGCTTGGCTGGGACGTCTGTCGTCTACAAGCTCTTCTGTGCTCGGTGTGGAGGACAAGGGTACAAGAGGACCTGTTCTGCCGCTTTGCGAAGGAGGTGGTCCTGCCGATTCTTCCCCAGGGACACGTGGTGGACGGGAAGCCGGTTTTGGAAAGTTTTCGAGCACATTGGAGGATGCGTTTAAGATTTCAAGCTTGTTGGCCCACCATATTTCCATCGGAAGCTTTGAGATATTGTTGCCACGCACATCCAGAACCTTGAGCTCTGTAAGACAGCCAATCTGTGGTGGCAGCTCACCAACAGAGTTATTGGCGATGCTGAAATGCTCCAGTCGGCTTAGAGTACCAAGCTGTTGCGGCAAAGACACAAAATGATTCTCGTCAAGCACCAGTTGCTCGAGGTTCATCATGTGCGCAAAGGCGGAATCGATGCTCGCCAGTTGAGCATGAGAGAGATTCAAAATCTTGAGAGTCGGGACTGGTGCAATGATTTCAAATTTGTTCAGAGGATTGGAGTTGAGTTTGAGCAGACGGATGCGCTCAAAGCCGCCGACAAAAGAGGAGATTTGGTTGTGGGCGGCGTGTAAGATTTCCAGCTTAGGCAGCTCCGAGATAATATCAATGTTGGTGACGTGGTTATACTTGATGTCAAGCTCGCGCAGGCTTATCAAATCTCGGAATGTCTCAGGCAGCTCACTACCCAGTCCGTTGTTGGTAATCAACAGCTTCTCAAGGTTCTTCAGCTGCCCTATCTCGTCGGGCAATTCGCCAATGGAATTGAAGCTGAGATCGAGATCAACGAGGCTCTGCAGTTCGCAGATAAAGGTCGGAAATGTGCCCAGGAGGTTGGAAGAAATGTTGAGCGTTCGAAGAGCCTGATAAGCGTTGAAGTACGGCGGAATATGCTTCAGTCGATTGTTAGCGAGATTCATTTTCAATAGACCCGTCAATGTGTCCAGCTCGGCGTTGTCTAGTGACTCAACGCGATTATTGGACACGTCGAGATAGGTAAGCTTGGCGGCTCTGCATAGGCTGAGTGGCAGTCTCCTCGCTTCGTTGTTGTTGTATTTGATGTCTCGCAACTGCTTGCATGACTGAATAAAATCTCGCGGTACGTCTAGGGACAGATTGCGCGACAGATTGAGCGAAATGATGTCTCCCGCTTTGAGGTATAGAGCAATAGGAATGGTGATCAGGTTACGGGCAGACAAGTCGACATAATTGAGCTTTTGTTGCTGCGACATGCCGAGGTCCATGGTTCTAGAGTGGAAGTCACTTTCGCGCGCCGACAAGAACATGAATCTGCACAAGTAGCCGTTGTCCTCTCTACCGAGATCCTCAATTCTGTCCTTTTCTTCGTAGCCGACCTGCTGAAAGAGGCGCTTTTGAATAAGGAGTGGCCTGTCTTGGGGTGCCAAAACACGGATCAGATCGTGCTTCTTCATTATTATGTTGTAGTTTTCGAGGCCGTCGACAACATATGTCTTCTTCATGACTTGCGTGATGACGTCGCTAACGGTGGAATCGAGAGGCATTGCGTGCGTTAAGAAAGTGCCGTCTGATCGAAATATGCGGATACAGTAGGGCGACAGCTTTTCTTCCGGACGGCGTGGACAGACAGCATCTTCAGCTTCAGGGGCCTCCTCTGTCTTGTCTTCAGTATTGCGGCGCACTGCCCAGCTGTCGGGCGCATCCCACTGACCCTTGGGGTCGGGAGAGCCAGTGTCTATATCCCCTTCCAAGCTTTTCAGAAAGGATGAATCTAACGGCGTCAAGGGAGGGGGCTTGGTCAAAATGCCTTCCATGTCGTTAAGGTTGGTATCAAGATGATAGAAATTGCCGGCGGCCCGCTGCTCAGTTGGTCCGATGGCCTCATCGTTGTAATCGTGCTTGAAGTTTCGGCTCTTTTTGGTGGCAAATGGAAACTTGTTATTAAACGTTGTTGACCGATGGGGTGCAACATCGGGTATGGTAGCGCCGCGTTCGGGTGGTACTGGCGACGGCGTTTCGGTTCGTCCAAAGTCTGTTTTGGCAACCTTGTTGGAGAGCGATTTCGTCGATGGAGGCAAGTCGCGCAGCTTCGAGCCATTCTCATCCTTGTCTTTATGTCGCCTCAGGCGATTTAGAATGCCGCGCTTACCATGGGCGGGGGATGCGTGGCCATCCGTCTGGCCAACTCGTGATGGGGGTACACTGTTGGCGCTGGGGGTTGGGCTCTGAGCCCTTGATTTCGTCTTGTACATAGCCGAGGCCATGGCCCGATCGCGAGGATGCTGCAGGCTATTGGCAGAGTCTTCTCGGCTCGTCGTTGGTCTCAGTGCGCGGGGGTCATCAATACTCTTCTTATGCCGATGGTGGTGGTGATGGTGATGCTGCCCTGGCAAGATGGAGTGACCAGATCTAGCGGAGGAGGAGGACTTGGGTGGAGGTTCGCGTGATGAGCCTTCGTTTATGTATCGCTCTCGATCGGGCCCGGTCATGGTATCTCTGACGGGTGCCTCGCCATAACGTGCAATGTCCTGTTTGATAGTTAGTCAGAAACTGTGACAGGTGTCACAGTTTGCCACGGGATCTGAGAAGGGCAAACAGGAGCACAGCAGCGGCGAATGCGGAACTGACGGCTCGCGCCAATGGTCAGGAATCCGAAATTAAGCACCACAGTGACCGCGCTGCCGGGCATAGCACGACTCGAAAAGCAATGCTCTTTCTCCCTCATGAATTCTTGATTTCTTTCCGAACCAGGTTGTACTTACCGTGTTGTCTTGATAAAGGAATGGTACCACTTCGGGTGCAGGCACGGGAGTTCTGGGTCGGGATGAAGCTGGCGACCCTTCTCTGTCGGTAGCGTTGGAGTGATGGCGCTCCTGGCCAGGGCGTGTATGACTATAAGAGCGCGAGCGTTGGTCTTTTCCTATTGAGCCTGGCAGGCTGCTCTCCGAACTATCGCGACCGGGAAACTCTTCACCAAAGAAGCCTTGGAGCTTACGAAATCCGCCTCGTTGGATGCTAGCCTTGGATCCTTGGCTGCTGGTCGTAGTTGCTATGCTAGCAGCAGACGGTCTCCGTGTGTCATGGTTATAGTAGATAGCATCAGGCGAGTCGTAGCTCACGGAAAGCTGGCCTGTGCGAGATGCCGATGGGGGTAGAGCTGGGGACATTTGCTGGGAAGCGGCGGAGAGGCTATCGGTAGAATCATTGTAAAAGCTCATGGGCAGAGAATTGGCGTGGGCGGCGGGGGCGGAACTGCTGTGGGACATCCAGGGCGCAATCTGGGTGGCAGCCGCGGCGTTGCTGGAGATTGAACCGTTGGGCCGGGGTTGATCAAGGACGGCTAGATCGCGGCGATGGTTGTTGAAATCGCGGAGATGGCGCTCGTTGTGGGAGAGATTAGAGTTGGTGGAGGAGGGCGACATGGCGCCTCTGGCAGCGCGAGTGGACGTGGTAGGCGAAATTTGCGAGTCATCTCTTGAAGATCTGCAGAGAGAAAGAATCGGTAAGTATATATCTTATGATGCGCGATTTCGGCCGAGCGGCGGGTCAACTTTGGCAATCTTACCTTGGTGGAAGATGGGAGCTGTCAATGCTGAGGCGTGAGGGAATGCTGTGGCGTGAAGCACGGCTAGGCGGGATAGGCGTCGGTGTGGTGGGAATTATGGTAACAGAGGATGAACGCGTGCTGTCAGGGTGAGGGCTGTTGGTTGCGAGGGAGCCGTGATGAGCCGCAGAATGCTCATTCTCAGACATCATGACAGGACTCTGGCAGCGGGCAAGGCCATGTCCTTCCTCGAGGTGAGCCGGGCTCAAGGAAAGTGGCGGAGGGGTCGTGCGTCTGCGAAGGCGATGGGCTAGCTATTTAGCTGGAGAAGCTATGTCGACATGCTGGTTGCGCGCTGGTGGTACGACTTTGCTAGGAGGGATTCGAAGAGAGAAAGCGGTAGGACAAGATGGCGAGTTGGCGAACGGATTTTATGAAGCTGGTTTGGAGCAGAATGTCGATTTGGAGCCGATGGAGAGGGAAGCACAGGCGTGGATGTGGTGTGCAGGTTTTTGCTTTTTGAGCAGGCTGGGGGTGTCTGGGGCGAGAAGCTGTATCCGTAGGTAGATGGCTGGCGCTTCGGTGGGCGGAAGCGAGCCAGCAAGCAGGCGGGCAACAAGCCAAGCCCACCACAGGGGAGAAGAGACAAGGGAGGGCGGCCAGACTATCTGCACCCAGAGGCCTACTAGGCGTAGGTACCCATACACCAAGCCCAGGTTGAGTAGGTACTTTAGAAGTGCTTACCCACTAAAACCGGTGGCTCTTTATCCGCTAAGATGATAAAAGCTAGGTAGGTTAGGTAGGCTCATCTGCGCCAAGTAAAGAATTACACCTAAATAAGCAGATACCTCGCCTGCACCCGAAACCTGAGCCGTACTCCAAGTACCTGCCTACCTAACCTACCTACTCGTCTCGCCACGATGCTACTGATAAATACTACCACTCACACAAACCTCATTTCTTACTCTCGCCCGGTCATGCCTGCAGTCGTAGTCATCACATTACCAAGCCCGCCATCCATCTAGCAGCCTCCATTCGCCAGCCAAAGCCAGCCACTCACACATGCTGTCCTTTTACAACGCGCCGTCTTACTCCCCTCAGCTCTGACACGGCGCCATCAACTTACCCCGGGATACTCCTCGACCCCGTGAAACGCGTGTTGCATCTTGAATTGCTGCTGCTGCTACTGCTGCTGCTGCTGTCACTACCGTCGAGGAAAGAAACAGTCCATTTGCTATCCCGTTTGTTTTTTTCTTCTTCTTTCTTTGTTTTTCCTTGGCAGTATCATCACATGGCACTCACCAAAAGGCCTCATTTTAATCTGCTCCGCGTAAATGCCGACCCGCAAGCGGCGACTGGCGCTTCAACAATGTCTCGGCCAGTTGCTATTAGATTGGGCCGTCTTTTTTTCTCCTTTGCTTCTGAGAACTGGGCCAACCAGGCTGCCACGCTGCCTGCCTGCTCGTTATTACGTAGTATTATCCCGAGTCCCCCCCAAGCCTAGAAAAAAAAAAAAACTTGCGCTCGCCACCACTACGGCTCTCCATCTCACCCATCTTGTCGCAACAACACACCTCTTTGGCCATCAAAAGTCGCCGTGATTTTGAAGCTACCCGCAAGTTCCCCTAGGCAGCCATTTAAGCGCAAGGCGGATTGGTCGTTTTCTCCTGCAGCTCGGGTTATTAGGCGGACTTGGTGTGTTTGGCTTATGTCCTTCTGCTAAGCACCACGCGACCGCTGGCGTGCCGAAAACGGTCAAACTAACGGTCTGCTGGGCACCATCGTATATTCGTCTCGGCCAAGGCAATGGCCGATCGATCATTGCTTGCTTCCTTTCAGGTCAAACCCACTTCGGGCGAGGCTAATCGTCCACTATCTATCCGTACCATCATGGCTGGTATAGCCGCTGGGGCTGTGAGCTGTGAGTCTTTGGCAAAGCCAATGGTGTCGACGTGGCTGTGGCTCCGTGTCGTACCCAGGAGCCTCAAATATGAGCTCTATCTGGAAGAAGTCATCCACGGCCCTCTCCGCGCATCATAGTACACCTCGGCAATATTGTACTGGTGCTATTAATCTGCCGAGCACCACATATCAGGCATAACGATAAGCATTAATATCGCGTATTAGCTGGGGGTTTTTCTTTTTCCCCAGTGGCCCAAACCAGCTTCCCGTAAACTCCGTTTTAGCCTACCGAGGACAAATACTGTCTCCGATCCAGGACCGCCAAGGAGCACAACCATTGGTCGACGCAAGATATACACGAATATGACTGTTTTGTGTATAAAATTATGAACATGGTCGCCCGCTAGTGGCCGGCCGAGCTTAAACTCCACGAGGGAGAACTCCGTACAGCGACCACAGCTTTCTTCAATTCTCCAGCAAACAAGACACTCGAAGGTTGAGACAGTAGGATGATACGAGACACACGACCACAAAGGAAATCGCAAGTATTGCCAAAAGAAAAATAAAACACGAGTCAAACAGACGACCTTTGGATAGATGATAGCGATGAATATTCATCTAGGATATCAAATGCATTTCCATGAGCGCATCGAAGCTTTACATGGTTATTGGATATTTCCACAGTCCGGACGTATATGTTTCTGCCACAGTCGTCACCGGCCACCAATTCGTCTTGAACTTCCAGACTTTTCTATCTTTGAGCTCCAGACGTCGCTGAAGGTCTTTATACTCACCCGACGGGCCCAGTTTGAACAACGGAGCCAGCGTCTGTTGCTCACTCAGGGCCGACGCCTTTGTCGGGACAATGTCAAATGCCTTGTAGGCTGCGGGCTCAGGCGCGTGCCTCGTGTCCCACGCGTCGTAAATTTCCCGCGAGGACTCGACTATGGCTGCTTGGCACTTTAATAAGTTTTCCTCATTGCACTTATCCAGCAGTCGCTTATCTCCGTATGCCTGCCATGGGTTTCCCTTGGGGGCTGAGACGCTGAGTCCGAGAGCGCAGTCCTCGTCATGCATTTTCTATATCGCAAACGGTCAGCAAGTGTACTTTTTTTTTTTTTTTCCGTGTTAAAACCATGAAGCGGTCTCTCATTCTTCCACATACATTCGCGCAGACATCCACAACATTCTTCAAACCGCCGTGCAGTAGTCGGCGAGGCGTCCGAAGATGGCCGGCAGAAAACAGGTCCTGCAGGTAGTGGTCGGCAAAGGCGTTGATCGAATACGCCTTGACCAGGCGGTCGACGGTCTTTTCGCCCGTCGTGGCCAATTGAAGAGCGGCTGAGTGGCCCGCGCGATATGCTGCGCGGGCATTGTCCCCAAAGTGATCCCAGTTGATCTTGAGAAGCTCGCTGTAGATGGGAAAGTGTCGGCCTTGAATAAGCTTATCGATGGCGTTCATACCCGCAAGGCCGGTCCCGTCTTTGTACCAAGTGGATGGGTCCTTCTTTTCCTTGTGCAACGCTTCGACTTGATCGACCTCGTCTTGAAGATGCTTAATCAGTACCTGCCCGTCGTGAGGCTGATCTGCGGGATTGTCCGCCAATGTGTTGTAGGCCGCCAGAAAACGCGTTCTGGCATCCTCGTCGCTTTTGGCATCACTAATGGGATTTAGAGTGCCATAGAAGTCTCCTGCCAAGGCAGAAATTTCCCCGTATGTCAATTCCAGAACGTCAGACCCCTTGGAAAGCTTGAGAAGTGGCAGGTCACTGGCCACAACATCTACTACCTTGCCGTCTGGTGTTTGGTCTGTGGAACTTTTGGGGTGTTGATATTTCAAGTTCATCTGGTCTCCTAGAAACCTATGTTCTGCATACTCGAAACCCGCTGTGAATTGGATTAGCATGTACAGTGGCAGGTTTCGTCTTATCAAGGAAGGCAGCCGTACCGGGAGGAGGTTGACGCCCATCGTCCCGCTGCGCACTAAGCTGTCGCGTCGCATCTTCACCCACATGACGGTAAGGTGAGATCCATACAGGCCTGCGCTCAAAGTTCAGCCATGGATCATTGACCAATTCTTCTGGAGCGGATGTCGGCCATTGGTCTCCTTCGGTTGACCTAACGCTGCATTAGTACCCTGATGGAATGTGCGACTTTTTGTTCAATGTTAAATACATGATAGAAGTTGTTCGGTGGGCAATCGTTTTACTTGGTGCCAGGTTTGATAATTTGTTTGTTACATGCGCACGGCAGCAGAAGATTCAGAGCAGCACAACGCCTATATATAGATAGTTGAGCGATCTACACTACCGAAGAACGGCACTCAAAGCCAGTCGCGCACATAAGAAGAATTCAGGCGCAACGCCATCATAAGTGCTTGTATTATCAGAATGTAGACCTCACTTCCGAAATGAGGGGTCATAAATCCCAGGATCTTCAATGTGGCGGAGGCTACCATAACCCCTCCCCAGGTATTGTGTATGCAAGCAGCTGCTGATCACATGCAGCATGTGCTATCAAACAGCTGAACGGAGTAGGCAACAGTGAGTTACTGGAAAGCTTTGGATGTATCGAGATTGCACAAATACAGCTGAAAAAACCGATGTGCATGTTGTCCCGCGTAATTATAACTGTTTCCTCCCCCGCTTTCAGATGCAGCCGAGCAGCCGCTTTTCGTGCATTTCGCGGGCCGTCAGTGCCGAAGACAAAGATGCATCTGCCGGGGCCTTATATCGCTTTACTTTCGCATAAGTAACAAAATTGTGGCTTACGCTACACAGTCATTAGCTAGGACGAACGCAAGTCCTCCAGTGAAGGGATCGAGCATGCTGGTCGCTCCATGGTAGGATCGGACCTGCTCTGAACAACATTTTCAGACACCCTCGCGCTTCCGATAGGATGGACAAACAAGGTCAACTCAATTGGCGGGTTAAAGCTGTCACAATTGACTCTGAAGGATTTCCCCGATCTTCGCTCCGCGCCTTGATTGAGTGCCAGCGTTCATCCGTGGCTAGGGAGGCAGGATATGAAGACGTTTTTCGTAAATCTTCGAGTGAATTGCCGTAGACAGATAGGATCAATTATGCCCTGAACAAGACCAGACGTTAAGCCCCCTCATTGTAGTCGTCAAGTATCTGATTTCCATAAGGCGCACTATGCAATTGGAGTTTTCGGTGTGATTCTCGCGGTGCGTTTGTTCCAGACGTAACGCTCAGCCTAAGCGACCAGCTCCATCGTCCCTCCCTTGATTGTCTGCCATTTGAGCCCACTAGCAACAAATTCAGTAAACCGTTATTACCCGATCGATTAGGCTTTTGCGCGAGGTAACGCCACTTAGGCCGCGACCTGTTGTGCGTTCCTACGCCACCGGCAGCCTTGCCGACGAGACACACTGCGGTCTAAGTCCTATCGACTATGCTAATATGCACCGCAATAATCTGCATGGCTTCATGGTGGCATTGCGTATTGTTTTTTCTTCTCTTCCTCGTAGTTGCACTGTAATTGGGGCGGGTGACTTGTGATCGCATCAAAGGTCGACACGACCATATCAACTCGCAAACTCTACGTAGGAAAAGTGCCAATCCGCCCGAAATTTCTCTTTCAAATCGTCTCGATTCTGGATAATAGTACCCAGCTACGGTTATACAAGCCAATAGCTCTTTGCGGTTGCAACAATTGGGTGGTGTACGTCTTGGTGGCCCCAGTGCGGGGAGTGGCGTTGGCAGAAGGCAGGAAATAATAAACGATACAATTAAGACACGGCACACAGGAGTAAGCCACAGATATCGACAGCGTAGTACTTGAACAGCCTCGGTGTGGCATGCTATGCCAATAGAGCAACAGTGTACGTAAATGGCAGAGTGATCGGCGCGGCAACGGTTTTGGAACATGCCGACCATGTCTGCGATTGAACTCACACCGTCGTCTTGACAGAAGCGGGGAAGGCTATGCTAAATGCCGAAGAGCCATTACTTGTAATGCTATTGTCGGTGTTGAACGTGATTCAAGTTGCAGCAAGAAGCAATTCGCTCATTCAAAGCTTTGCCTTGTCAGCTAGTCACGCAGTGCATATCCTTAGGTCAAGATATGAGCAAGAGTTTCACATGACAAGGAGAAAGCTTGATGGCAAATGTAAATGCTATCTCTCGACTTGGCCTATCTCAAGGTTGGCAAGACAAAGTCACTAGTTAGCCAAATTACAGCTCACGATGGTCTCTATGCTAGCGACTGCGGTCCCAGAGGTTACCTGCCCTCTGTGCTAGTGCTTGCTTATCTGACTATGTGCCCGCAAGACTCTAGTATTGAGATACATCCAATGAATGTGGCTACTTGCAGTATTGATCGGTCACGGCAACCTGCCAGCTTTTCAGGTTTTACCAAGGGACAACTTCTGTACGATCCGCTCGATCTAGAACAATGAGACCGTTGGTTAAGAAGATGGATCTGGGGAGCTACGCGACTAAGACTTTACTAAAAAAAAAAGAAGAGAAAAAAAAAAGAAAAAAAAGGAAAAAAAAACAACAAGATGTATCAATGCCACTTCAAATACGGCCTGGTCATGTAGTACCTAATGACAGAAACTGATAGAGGGCTGGCCGCTTCTAGAAACATGACGTTGATCTCCGAAAAATGCGAAGCTTTTCGGCACCCATCCCGATCAATAGTGGGCAACGCTACTTCATATGTCAAACTATAACCCAACTTGTCCAGTTACCCACCTCGCTTACAAGAGCTACTGACATCACACCTGGGGAGGGGGCCTCTTGTAGCGGACCCGAAGCTTAAATGCCATGTTACGCCGTTGCGCGACATCGTAGATAGGCCTAAAGACCAGATTTCTTTCGCGAAATGCTTCAAGGCTTACAAATTAGGCCCGATAAACCCGATGACTTATCGCCATTCTTTCGGGGGTTCCAACGTATAAAGTAGGCCGTCTGCCCACTACCTTGGTCAAACGCAGCTGCCCACCACCGCCTTACTCTAGTTTCCCTTTTTACTTTTCGCAACATCTCTACCCCTCGAACCGTCACCATGTCCACACCAACCAAGTTTACCTTTCCCTCATTTATGCTCACCATCAGCGCAGAGCTATACGCCCCTGCTGATGGATCTCCTGATCGAAAGGGAGCCGCCATTGTCGTGAGCCACCCAATGACGGGTGTCAAGGAACAAACAGCCGCTACCTACGCCCGTGCACTGTCTGCGGCGGGTTTCTTTGCCCTGACATTTGATGCTGGCTACCAGGGTGAAAGTACCGGTGAGCCGCGAGGCCTCGAAGATCCGCACCAGCGAGTCGAAGACAACAAAGCTGCCGTCACTTTCTTGACCACCTTGAAGGGTAAAATCGATCCCGAGCGCATTGGAATGCTGGGCATTTGCGCATCAGGCGGCTATACTTCCTATGCTGCGCAATCTGATGTCCGCATCAAGGCCCTTGGCACTGTCAGTGCGGCTTGTGTCGGGCGAATGACCCGTAACGGCGGTCTCGAGGAAAGCAACAACAAGGAATCGCCCGATGCGATTGCCGGTGCCCTCAAGGCTGCAGCGGATTGGCGCACCTCTCACGCAGCTGATGCCAAATCCGAAGCGCCGAAAATGTTCGAGACCGAGGCTTCCGCGGTACCGGCAGACGCACCGCCATTCTTCAAATCCGCTGCTGCGTACTACGGCACGAAACGCGGCAACCACCCTCGATCAAACCAGCGTGTGCCGCCTTCAAGCTATGACTTGATGATTGGATACGATTCCTTTAATTTCCAGCACCTCATCTCTCCCCGACCGCTGTTGATGATTGTTGGCTCAAAGGCGGAGACGTTGCATTATAGCAAGACGGCGGTTGAAGGAGCAAAGGAGCCCAAGGAGCTGTTTGTCATTGATGGGAAGAACCATTTTGAACTTTATGATGACTTGGAACAGTCGGCGCCAAAGCTGGTCGAGTTTTATGCAGCAGCGCTCGCGAAATAATTTGGGACTGAAGCCTGCTCTGCATAACACTAGATAGCCAAAGCCCTGACATTGGCGATTTTCCAAGCCAATAATTATGTTATTTTATCCAAAAAATAAAATAAAATAAAATAAAATAAAAGGCAAGAGGTGCTAGCTAGAAAATACAAGGTCGATCTGTGGCTTTGCTCCTTGACCAGCGCGACCATCTAGGCCAACAGCAGCCGTATAATCTGCAAGACAGAGTGCGTGTAGGCCCTCTCTTATCCCATATGCACAAAATTTTCCATGCACGTCCCCTTGATGGCGATCATATGCTGATTAAACCCAGTCATTGCTGCGTATCTACCGAAAGCATGTTCACGCGAAAAGAAATTTGACTGGTGGGCGGCACAGGTGACGACCAGGCATGCGATGAGACCGACAACGAGCAAGCCACGCAGAGTCATGACGAGCCTGAGATGGACCCTCTCCTTCTCCCTCGAACAGGGCAGGATTCGTATACTATTTGTCCTCGGAAGGCGAAAATCATGGCAAGGCGTCAAGTCACTATAATGCTTCGCATACTAGGAAGCTCAACAGCTGAACAAGGAAACATGCGCAATGAGAAAAGAAAGCAGGCATGTGATAATGAGCTACAAAAGGAGAAGGCCGGGAAGAGGTGAATAAGCATATTTTATTGGCTGTTTTTATTGATTTGTTGCATGTCAGATTGCAATAAATATGGTTTCCATTTCGCATTTCGCGACTTGGTCTTAGCCGCCATCTCGAATTGCTGGCTGAAGAAGTCAGGCCAGCCCGTTTCGCGTCATTTACATGGCTATCAGAATATTGCAAATATATTAGTAATTCTAGTTGCGTGTGGATACAGGAAGTCTGCTCATATAGAAACCGTCGGAATAAAGTAGCCTCTTGCTTCCGGCTTCTATCGGACGCAACATGATCTGAAAAAAAAAGGTATATATAGACCCAATGGTACACCACATCATTCTACTCCAAAACAAAAGCAGTCTGGTTTTTAAGACCATAGGCTCTACTCTTGTTTGAAATCTTTTCTCGCCCACTACTCGCCCAACATGAAGGTTGCTTTGCTTGCTTGGCTGGCCTTGGCTGGGACAACCGTTGCCAGTCCAACTGCTGCTGCTGCCCTGCAAGCCCGATACCCGCCACAGGCTGGCTCAGCACAAGCACGCGAGCTTTACGAACTGGTCAAGAGAGGGTTGCAGAGCTGGGGCCTGGCGGGCGCCGTCTACGCTCCCAGCGGACACATCAGCGGTCCGTCGGCCAAGTTCCCTGGCGGCCTACCTGAGTTGAACCGACCCCACCCCCCGAAGCAGGACGGCGTGCCCGGTACGCCGGGCCACCCCCTCGGCCCTCACAAGAAGCAAGGGCGCATCTACCAGAGGCACCGATCGTGCGCAAGGGTGAAGCGCAGCAGCACGCGGTGCCCCGCCGGCACGACCGCGGTCAGGCGAGCCTCCAGGTACCCGAGGCTCCGCCTCAACGGGCAGGGCGGCGTCATGGTGGCGTTTTCGACCCTTTCGCCTCATGCGCATGGCGTGTTAGCCGCGGTCAAGAAATGGGATAACCCAATTGGCGCGGCCGTCGCATGGTTTGACAATTCAATGACGAGCCTCCAGGAGAGCATTGGCGGAAAGCACGTCCCTGAGATTGACGGCAACGAGCTCAAGCTATGGCTTATTTGCCTCTTCCGGGGCAGCAACCCTAAAAACCCAGATGTCATTGATAATCTGTGCCAGCGCCGCCGGGACGCGCCTCTCGAGGAGAAGAAGCAGCAGCAGGCCATTGACGGGCTGAACCAGGTGGCCGAGCTGTGCGAAAAGGTGGAGGAGGAAGAGGAATCCCGTCCCCGGGACGAGGGGCTGAAGACGGAGATTCTGGCGCTCTGCGACAAGTATAGCGAGACAATGGAGGGCCTGGTCGACGCCAACGCCGGACTGGTCCTGCTGGGCGAGTGGGCTCGTGCCCGCACGCTCAACAATGAAAACGTTGATATTGCCGACACGGCCGTTGTGGAGGATTTCATCAAAAAGGGCGCCTTTGGACCAGAAATGGCCGCCAACGAGACCGACGTGCAAGACATTGCCGGGCTGTACATGGAGCACATGTCGGATTATGCCATCGTGGAGATTGAGGACGACGGGGCCGAGGTGCTCATTGACCACAGCCAGCCGCCGGCGTGGCTGGAGCTGCTGCAGATGGGCGCGGGCTTCGTGCCCGAGGACCGCGAGGCCATCAACGAGGCGCTGCGGCTGCTCGAGGGCACGCCGCACCACCGCCACCTCGACAAGGAGGCCGGAGACGGCTTCTTCGAGAGGGTCCAGACGTGCTGGGACCATGCGGGCCTGCTCATGTTCCAGCCGCGGCGGTGGGACATTGTCGCGGCGGCCATGACCTACCTCGAGGGCAAGGTGCGGGACACCAACAGCGACCTCGCGTGCGCGCCGTGCCTGGTGCCCGCGGGCTTTTGGGTGCTGCGTTGCGGATCGGCCGTGCCATAATCCCAAAGATGGCCCTCATCAATCCAAGTAGTGGGCAGCAGTTGTGGTGAGTGTCAGGTCGGGCATGCTTGGGAATAGTGTGCACCGGGTAGCCGCGTTGTGTACAAAAGAGCCGAAACGCGGCTCGGTGACGACATGAAGGAGATTTGGTAGATGGCCGCGTAAGCGCAGAAAAAAAGATCCGCAACGGCATTTTTTGTCCTCGACAACCCTGGCCAATGCGGATACATGGGACAAATGTCCATACAAGCAAAGGAGTTTCACCATGTTGAAGTAAAAAGTTGGTTTTCAGTTTGCTACTTTTTTTTTAACACGTCGCACGCATGCTATTCCAGTGACGACAAATCTATTGAGATCGGGCCGATAGCTTGGCATCACCACGAAGCCGAGACCCAACAGAACGAGAGCCGCAGCCTAACCAGCCTGTGGAGTAGTAGACATTATTGCCCTGAATTGGGTGATGTACGATGTTTTCGAGATTCCACATGCATTATTGAATTTCGAATCGTACAAATTTTTTTTTAAAGACAGCGGCGGGGATCTCCACAAGCTTGAAACCCTGTGAAAAAGAATAATACTAAAGTATTCATAAGCTGATTAAAAAGTCTAAACAAAAGAAATTTTTTATCATAACATTGCATTTCGTAAAAGAGATGGGCGTGCCACTGTAGCCATCGCACCGGTGCCACGGCGGGGCGCCCGATAATGGCGACATCGGCTAAATGAAACTCTTGCTTGGCGGCATCTTGCTTGAGCCAGTCGAACGGGAGGGGAGTCATGCACAATGAAAGTCGTCATAATAGCAAGGGTCATATATAATAGAGGTCCTATGACAGGGTGATCGCGCAAGAGGCTCTCGCCGATAAAGCGAGATTGATTGGCTTTTTTGAGCCATAGTGGGGTGGGGTGACGCATGAGCGATATAGCAAGACCGACCGACCCATGCAATACAATTTGTCGTGCCTTTGCTCCGAACCACTTGATAGTTGTTCGTCGACTAAGAAACACGGTGTCTACAGAGACGTTTGCTGTTGCCCTCCATATCCGCCGGTACCGCGACCACCGCGCGCCATTTGCCCACCCATTTTATGGCTAATTTCAAGGGATCTAATGGCAACACGAGCCGTATCAGGACGCGAGCGATCAGTGAAGTCAAATGAACTGGCAAACTGGGATGTGATGTGATTTGATGATACTAGTTGAGAAGGAGAAGAAGAAGAAAGAAGCTACCCAGAGGTGGCTGTGGTGATAATCAGGGTCCTCCGCTGAGTCAGCCAGTGGCAGGTGCAACTGCCAACACGTTTCAAGTGTTGTTGCATCGACACTACGCGCTGCAATATTGGAAAGAAAAAAATTCCCCACTAGAGCAAGAGGGAGAACTCTAATTGCATGAACACTCTAAGAGTCATGTCGGCAATCTGTACGCTGCCGGCTTGGCCGAGGGCCAAGGTTTGACAGTAATGGATGCAACCGTTAGCTGTCGGGGGCTAGCGCAGCACTTACGAATAGCTTATTTAGTATCTAAATATTAAAGGCGGGGAAGCCAACGGTTCTGTCCTGCTTGTGGCGCCACTTTCTTTTGCTTCCGCAGCCATCCCAACAGTCAGGGCGTGATACGACTCTTGGTGGCAGCTTGTACGTCATTTGGAGAAACTATTGCAAAATAACACGGAAAATGCGGAAAAAGATTGGATTCAAAGGGTAAAGGCACTCTAACCATATTACAGCCAACATGCGAAATCCCGGTATGCTATGATGTGACACCATCACGCATTGACGCTATGATGTTTCAATGCTACTGTGTCATGATTCACTTCGTATAATCATGTCGAGATGCATTAGTTCATGTGGATATGCCATAAGGCTATTATGCCAAAGTGCCAGAATGCGTTCATCACCGACTTTTCAGAGTCTGACCGCGGATTTAACCGTTCATAGAGTAAGTGAGTGCGAAAAAGCCCTAGTTGGCCAGTACGCTACTACGGCAGGTCGTTGAGCACAATCATATAGCCGTATTACTTATGGAAGTGCTCAGTACCACGTGGCTAGAGTCAGATTAATACAAGTGCTTACTTTTCTTGTATAACTGCTATGCGTTTCATCCTCGACGACTTTCAACACCCCGAAACAAGGCTACCACTATGGAATATCATCTCCGTGGGGGGTTTCGGCAATTACTTAAATATTATGTAAATATCGCCATTGCTAGTTCAATCCGGTTAGTTTGGCAAGTCATGCACATGCCTTGCCAAGATGAATGACTCGTCGTCGTGATCTCCGAATTGAAGATCATCACCACGCCTACCCATCTACTACAACTATATATGGTTCCCTTTCCCCCAGCTTTGAAGGACATTACAATTTAGCTCAGACTCAACTACAATTACCACCTCCAACACATTTCGGTACTCTTTTCCAATCCATTTTTTGAAAATGAAGTTCTCATCTGCTCTCCTTGTCGTCTTCTCTGGGCTGGCTGTAGCCTCCCCATTGATCAACACCCGAGAGAACACTGAAGAAGCAAAGGCAGCGACCAAGGCTCTGCAAGACTTTGTCGCAAAGAACAAAGTCGACACTGAGGAAAGCCTCAAGAACCAAGCGGAGCGCCAGGCTAAATGGACGAGCAGGGTCACGGAGCAACAGGCCTTGATCCAGCAATTGGTGGACCTCAATGCTGAGTCCGTCCAGGCTGCAGCTGATGCGCCTGCCAGACTGGAGCAGCAGGTAAGCGACCCAGGGTCCATGAAATGTTGATGCAATACATACTAATCAACCAAATTCAGAAGGAAAAGCGTGAGGGAAACAACCAGGCTCTGGACGATATTGCCAACCGCCTCAAGGCGGCTTTGGAGTAAGCCTAGTCACGCATTACTAGTGATGGTTTTTGTGACGCGTCTGTGATAATCCTAGCAGACTATTATGTAGTTCCTTGCCAAAGATTAATTTATAATAGACCTGTCAATAAATGCCTTTACAAAGGAGCTTTCATCCTCTGAGCGACCACTTTGACGTAGAGGCGTGTCTACCTAAGCGTCAGCTTCAGTCCCGATCTCGGCCTCCCATCATCAAGATTCCTACTGTTCTTAAAGCACTTGGACAAAAAAGGCAGCAACGGTGGTTACTTAGGTACACAATAGGGGCTGCCGTAGAGCGACCACCATTCTGTCATTTCGACCACCGTACCAGCCACGCTTGGTGTGCGTGCGTATCCCCGTCCATCACATCACGACACTTACAATGCTAATAAACATATCTTCTTAAGCGGTAAAGTGCTATCCGTAACTCGTTTAATAAGTTGAGAAACTTTTTTGACGTAAGGGCAGCGATAATTAAGGACGGGTATTGAAGGAGAGGAGCAGCCCAGAGGCAGCCAAGAATATAGGCAAACACAGGTAACTAGCTAACTTTTACCGCTGCATTTCATGCATGCAAGTGTATGTTACTGTAAGAACAGGAATTTGATAGTATACTAGGCTGAATGGGTGATGGTATCAATAACATGCTCAATTCTGCTTGATAGGACCATGTACATCTCCATGAGTTAGGTACTGTTCAATAAAGGATACGTGCCCAGAGACTCTGGTGAAAGAGGCATAATATCCGCAGATAACCAAATTAGCAACACCGAGTAATACGTCCGTGTTCTTGTCAACAGATGGTCCGCCGCTATCGCCGGTGCAACCGCCCTTACCCTGGCCGTCGACGAAAGATTCGTTCTCGATGAGAAATCGTCTATGCGCAATCTTGCAAGAGTCGAGAGTTGTCAGCTCAACTGTTTGAAGAATGTCATCGGAGCCAGAATCCCTTTACCTGCTAACTAGCGATTTGATTCGTGTATAATGCCAGCTTCCTACGGTAACATACTAGCCTGCTGCGACTCCTATAGAACCGGTCTTGAGTTTCAAGCCCCTAGCCGGCAGCTTTGCATAGCTAATATTGCCGCCTTCAGGCGGAGTTGATAACTTCAAGATAGCGATATCGTCACCAAGGAAAAAAAAAAAAAAAAAAAACGCCCATAGAGCGTACCACTTTTCCGGCCTAACCGTCCTTCAAAGTTATAGTCAGGGTTTCCAATAAAGCCTACAACCGGAGAGCGAAGTTCCTAATTAAATCAGCCTGGTATTTCATATTTATGATTTCTCTGGCCATGCCCAGGGAGTATGAGACCAGACATAACAGGGCGTCATTGTACCGGTTTCGCTGGGTTTTCTACCCATTTGTCCTCCTCATGGGCTTTCCAGCAATGGGTAGCAGTGAGCACAGTTGTACTGTCCAGCAGAGTACCTCCGAAATCAGTTTTAATTTTGACAATATATGGGAGGTCGCTGGCTTGTGCAGGCACGCCGCCAGTGATTCTCTTGTTGATTCCCGCCGTAGCCAAGGCAGCGAAAAACGCAGCTTGCAGGACAAATCTGTACGCCATCTTTCGAGACAAATCGATATTGACAAACTTGAAGGGAAAAGAAGAGCCGAATAATATATTGTACGTCGTAGATTCGAAGCATCGAAGTTGCTGTGAAGAAGCTATCATTCGTGTGGCGGATCAAAGAGAGCGAGAGCGACGGAATCACACAGCGAGGCACGAGCTAAAGCAAAGACCTAATAAATATATATATATATAGGAGAAAGAGAAGAGAGGCTATCTAGAAGGTATAATAGCTAATAAGGGTCTTAGCTAAGTTAGTAAGCTAAGGTATACCTACTAATAACCCCTAGTATAAAAAGAAGATATTATCTATAATATTTATAAAATAGTCTAATCCTTCTTCTAATCCTTAAGTAATCTAATATAAGTCTAATATATTATAATATAAGTTTAATAAGAAATAAGTATAATATTAATTTATTTTTAATATTAATCTATTTTTAATTCTAATTTATTTTTAATTCTAATTTATTCTTAATTCTAATTAAACTTAATTTTAATTCTAGTTTTAATTCTAATTAACTAATTATTATTTATTACTAGGCTAAATTAGAGTAACTACCTAATTATTAATAATAGTAGGTTTAATTTTAGTTATATTTATAATAAAAGCTATATTATTTAGGATAAGTATATCTTAAGCTATATTTATAATAAGAGTTATATTATTTAAAATAAATATATTTTAAGTTATATTTATAATAAGAGTTATATTATTTAAAATAAATATATCTTAAGCTATATTTATAATAAGAATTATATTATTTAAAATAAGTATATCTTAAGCTATATTTATAATAAGAGTTATATTATTTAGAATAAGTATATCTTAAGTTATATTTATAATAAAAGTTATATTATTTAAAATAG